ACTTGTGAATGGCGAGTGGCAAGAATGGCTTAGATTTCAAAATACCTGCAGTACTCCGACTCTCTGCCACAAGGAAAAGTGCAAACGTCTGCTTAGACCCTGATGTGGTGCTAAGCACTTTTTCACATCGTTGATGTGGCTTTTTGCATACCCACACTCTAAGATCAAATCTGTGCATACGTACATTTAATAAATCCATGTCTATGGAAAGTCCCGATAAAACATGGAAACCCAACATTTGTGTGTGTGTGTGCGTGTGAAGCTTATGAGTGTGCATTGTTCATGACCCTGTCTCAGGACACAGACTGGGGTCAAAAGGGTTTACGCCCTCTGAGGTTTGCAGTAGGACACTGAAGGACTAAAGACTGTATGTTCCCACAGAGATCAATCATAAGGCAACACATTCAAAAGACTGAAACCTCAGCATGATTTTAACAGCCTGCAAAGCTTAAAGGTTTCTCGACCTGTGCCAACCCTAAGCTGGAGTATGTGGGATAAATTTGTTGCATTCAGAGACACACTTGTAAATTGAGGGAGATATTAAACGTGACAATGAAACTTTTAATCAACTCAACTTTGGATTCATAGGAATTGCTATTACAAGTGAACCTCACTTTGAACCCCAATTTTGCATGCAAATTTATAATCCATGCACCACATGACATTATATGAATAGCTCACCTAAAAAAAGTTTACTTGAATTTCAGTCTGTTTCTCATAAAAAGCCATTGTATGAATTTAAAAGACTTGAAATATAGTACACAAGTTACATGGACTACATTAATGGTACTTTATTGGTGCTTTTGCATCAAACCTCTATTTATATAGCGCTATACTGCTCAAAAAATGAAGGGAACACTTAATAGGCTTTATGCACAGCTTCACTACCTGAACTTCAGCCAGCTCCTTTGTTTCCTGTCTGCCATTATTGGACAAACTGATTCATCCAGGTGTGCCTGATTATTGTTACTGAGGCCAGGCACACCTGGATTAATCAGTTTGTCCAATAATGGCAGACAGGAAACAAAGGAGCTGGCTGAAGTTCAGGAAGTAGTGCAGCTGTGCATAAAGCCAATTGTCACAGTAAGTCACTTAAATTTCAGGCATATCAATCTGTCCAGTTAGGAAGCATAAGTGATTGTGAATCAGTTTCACTTGGTTTGGTGCAAATGAAAGTGACAACCGGTGCACTGGAGAGGCAACAGCAAGACAACCCCCCAAAAGTGAATGATTTTGCAGGTGGTGGTCATAGACCATAGACCATTGTGCCTGATGAAGACCTGAGAGTCGAAACGTTGCCTTTTAATAAATTCATTTGGAGCAGTAATTTTCAGTGTGCAGACTTCACACTTCTTTATTTGTTTATATCACTTAGTTGTCCTGCACCTGAGCCCAATTTGGGTGTTTGGGATGTGCACACCATTTTTGTATTTTTTTTTACTTTTCATAGACCATTGTTCTCTCCTTATTCTTCCTGACTGATTTGTCTTTAGTTTTGTTAGGGCCTTGTCCCTGTCTGTAGCATGAAGCATTACCTGCAACCCAATCAGGTAGCACAGGCAGTCCTGCTCCTCCAGGAGCTGTCGCAAGGTGGTTTGGTGTGTCTCCCAGCACAGTTTCAAGAGCATGGAGGAGATACAGAGAGACTGGTTTGGCGATGGGTCAGTAATGGTCTGGGGACCACATGCTAGCCAATGGTTCCCTTACCGCTGTTAGGTACAGGGATGAAATCCTCAGAGCCATTGTCAGACCTTATGCTGGTGCAGTGGGCCCTGGGTTTCTCCTGGTGCATGTTAATGACTAGCCTCATGTGGCTAGAGTGTGTAGGCAGTTTTTAGATGACGAAGGCATTGCCATTGGCTGGCCGTCTCATTCCCCAGACCTAAATCCAATTGAGCACCTCTGGGACATTATGGAGCATCTGAAGCCACCAAGTAGCACCACAGACTGTCCAGGAGCTCACTTACCCCTTTTCCACCAAAAACGAACTGGTTCGGAACTGGTGCTGGTTCAAAATTGGTTCGGAGTTGGTTCAACTTGCGAACCTTCTCAGAACCTGTTTGTTTTTCCACCATAGAGCGCCCAGTGAACGACGTCGTTACGTCACTGTGTACGTCGCCATACATCTTAGCTAGAAACGCTTGCAAGTACAACATTACTTTGGGATTATCTCTAACTCGTGAACCAAGAAGGCTTTAAAAACAATTGAAATATGTAAGTCTTTTAATCTTTTCCTTTGATATGTAATCTTTTCTGATTAGTTATGTACTCCTGTCTTGTGTATTTTTTTTCTTTCCATTTATTTGTTCTATATTGTGACTGTTTTCTCCTTTGTTTAGGCTACATAACGTTTTCAATAAAAAAAATTGATAAAAAAAAACTAGAAACGCTTGCGCCAACTTCAAGCATAACAATTACAATGGCAACTACAACTACATCGTGTTTCTGCAAATGTTTCTCCTGGCTTTGCAATCCTATATTATGTCAGAAAATATATTATCTAAACCCGCCCCCAGCCCCCGACGTAAGCATGACGTGGTAAAAGAACGGTTCTAGTCCAGCAAAGAGTTGGTGCCGCTTTGGAACCAGTTTTCCTGGCCGAGAACCGGTTCTTTGGCTGTCGAAACACAAAGAACCGGTTCGCGCGCAGGCACCGGCTCCGAACCGGCTCTCAAAATGCGTTGGTGGAAAAGGGGTAACTGATGCCCTGATCCAGGTCTGGGAGGAGATCCCCCCCAGGACACCATCCACCATCTCATCAGGAGCATGCCCAGACGTTGTCGTGAGTGCATAGAGGCTGGGGGCCATACACACTACTGACTTACATTATGAGTTGCTGTAAATGAACTTAATGCAAGTTGGATCAGCCTGTAACTTAAGTTTTTTACAAAGATTTTTGGTGTGATTTTGAATCAAGCCCTTACTGTGTTGATGATTTTGGTGTCCATTGACTGTTGTGACATAATTTTGTTCTTAACAAATTATAGAATGTATATAAAGATGGTTTAAATTGAATATTTCATTCATTGAGATCCATGCCTTTGTAACTCTTTTATGGTTTACAGCTCCATTATCTGCTTTGTTAAACAATATCAGCTCAGGTTTTCTGCCTACATGCATTATATACACTATATACTGTATTCTTTCTCCATGTTTTGTTCCAGCTGGTTGTGGTTTTCCTGTGAAAATCCTGCCTAATTCAGCCATAAAGGGTCAAGATAGCACAAATGTTTGTTCTATCTAATGGTGTTATTGCAGTGTTATGGGTTATGTGACCAAGCCAGAGGAACAGACTCATTTCTCAACAATATTGCTAGATAACTGTATTAATGTGGTGCAAGGGTATCAAACTTTTCCTGGAGGGCCAGGGCCACTGTCATGCAGAGTTCAGCACCTACCATAATTAAACACATCTGAACCAGCTAATCAAGGCATTTTAGCCGGAAAAGGCGTAACGACTGCTAAAGCCGCGTTTCCACCGCAATTGCCCGGAACAATTTGTCCCAGGAACTTTTTTCCCAGGAACTTTTTTTGCCCCAGACCGGTAGCTTTCTGCGTTTACATCGCGGTCTAAAGTACCGGGTAAACTGCGCGCGACTGCTCATTGCTTGCTTGTGACGGACAGTAGACTGTAAAAGACAGTAATCAGTTTTGAGCGCCACATTTATAATAAATATGGAAGAGATTCACACTGTGCTGCAGTTGTTTGAGATGTATTGGTTTACTAACCAGGTAATTAACAAAACGGCAGAAAAGAGACGAGCACTGATACTAAAGCGTGTTCAGAAAGCTCGTAATGCTAACGTTAGATCTAAAATTAGACAGCGTATGTTATCAGCTATTGCGGACATTGACCGTGAGAAGGCTGGGACGAACGCGCAGAAAATTTCTCTTCCGCAAATACGCTTAATAAAGCCTGAATCTCGTCGTCGGTCCAGCTGCCTTTTTTATTTTTATTAAATTCCATATTTGCAGACAGACAACTCTTACTGCATGGAACTTCATTACTACTGCATGAAGCCACGAACTGCAATAGATTCTAAAAATTCCGGTTAAAATAAAATGCTGCGCGGAGTTATCCAATCATAATGCGGCGTGAACACAACCAATCAGCATGTTCAGCGCACAAGCCCCACCCGCGAAAGTTCCTGAACTTTGAAAAAGTACTACCTCGCGAGCAGGGACTTTCGGAGGGGGAAATATCTACCCGGAACTTCATTTAGACCCTGCTCCTGCGGTGTAAACACACCGAGTACCAGGCCAAAGTTCCTAGTTCCTGGGTAAAGTTCCTGCGGTGGAAACGCGGCTAAGGCTGCGATACGCAGGGAAGGAGACGAGGCCGTTTTTACTGGATGTCAATGGAGGAGAGGCTTCACCACGCTGAATAAACCACTTTTGTGATGAAATAGCTTATTTAATGAATCGACAGCTCATCGGCTAATCTTCAACATGTTTGCTTTTGCTCATTCGTTTTGGATTTATCTATTTTTAGAGTTTACACTGAAAAAAATGCTGTTTTACGAGAGAAGTCACGGACAATTGGGAGACAGGTATGATTCAGTTTAAGGCACTTCTCATTCATTTCCATGCTATCCGCAAAGAGTGATTGCACAACTCTGAAAAAAAATTCAATGACGTTCAGGCTGTAATGTGATTGGATATCAAGGCATACATGATCTAAGTAAACTATTGTGCTTTCTCCAATAGAGTCATGGCCCCTTGAATCTCCCAATGCTAGAAACTTCCAGGCAGGTGTTTTGGAGCTAAACTGCAGGACAGTGGTCCTCCAGTAGTGGAGTTTGACACACGTGATGTAGTGGAACATTTCTAAAGTAAAAAGTAAAGTAAAGAAATAAAAAAAATAAAGAAATTTCTAAAGTAAAGAATCTTGGAAATGATGTTAACTGATAGAAAATGTTGTCTTTAGTAAACTTTCTCTCATCTAACTGGAGCACCAAACAGCATTATTTTCATGTCATGGCAAATAAATAAATAACTGGTTTTGATCATCATATATTTTGTTTATTGCATGAATCTTAGCATGATATTAACTGCTAAATGATTCTGTAGTCAGGTTAGCAGTGCTCAGCTCTTCTGGACAGACGGGTAGCTGGCAAAGACGGTAGTCCAGTAGTAAACCATGCGCGTTCTCAACATCTGCTTCACACTGTTCTTGTTCATACTGTTGTGGATGTCTAGGTACTTATGGCCAGTGCCGGCGAACTCGGGCCAGGCTACAGGAACACTGGACTCACCTTTGTTAGGGTCACTGTGAGGGAGAGAGAAAGAGACATTTTAGCTATCATTATGCACCACAAGTGGCACAAGGATTATTATACTTAACTAAAACTAAAACCATTCAAGAATATTTTTGTTACTTACAAATGTTCATATATATAAAAAATATATTTAATTTAGTTTAACTTCATCTATTAAAATAACAAACTAAAACTGAAATACATATTATTAAAAACTATTCCAGGGGTGTCCAAACCTGCTCCTGGAGGGCCGCCGTTCTGCAGAGTTTAGCTCCAAATTGCCTCAACACACCTGCCAGGAATTTTTTTTATTCTGCCTTTGATTAGCTGGTTCAGGTGTGTTGGTTCAGAACACGAAGGTTTTGTGAGGGAACGCAAAAGATTAGGAAAGGAACACAAAAGTTTAGTGAAAGAACGCAAAAGCTTTGCGAGCGAATGCGGAGACTGCAGAAGAAATGTTTTGCGAGCGATCGCAAAGTTTCTCCGGGGACCGCAAAAGTTTTTAAATATATTTTTTCCTCTTTTCTAATTTTTTTCCACCACCATGTCCCTTTAGAGGCTCTGTAAAAATTACTAAAACTATAACGGAAATTAAAATGAAATGAAAAAAAAAAACTATTATAGTATCTCCATTCTCCAATTTTCAATATTGGCACCAAATGGAATTGCACAACTATAGATAAGCCTTGTACTATAGTACTCTTATATTATATATATATTTTAATGATTATAGTTGCCTCTACACATTAAAGTATTTGTAATTATTTTTATGTTTATATACCCAGTTTGAGCAAAATTGGTCCAGTAGGCAATCATGTATTTGGAGACGTCACGATGGCGAGGAAAGTAGCCCAAAGGAGTCTCGAACGGCTTCCCAAACACAAACTGCAGGTCTTCAGCGTGATCGGCACCCATCCAGAGTGGGAAGATAGGCATGCGAGAGGGCTCTGTGAACAGGTAGGAGTAGGTTCGTGCAGATCTGATGGAGAAAAAAGGTTGTTTTAAGGTTTCTACTTTTCAGTTCACACTTTAGAGGTCAGTAAATAAGAAGATGAAGTCAGCTTACTTGGCATGGTCAGTGTGGAGGTACAGGGCCGCTTGGGTTGGCACCAGGAAGATGTAGTCCGTCTCAATGTCCACAATTGTTTTCTTAATATCCTTATCACTAGGGCTACTACCCCAATTGACCGTGTACTCCTGATAAGTTGCGACACCAGCGTCTTGTCCTCTAGCTTCAGACAGTGAAATCGAGAGAGCCCTGACATCTTCCCTGTTATAAATCAATAGCAGTTTTTTTTAAATTATGCCGTTGTTTGGATTATTAAAGGCCCCATGAAACGACTAGACAGGTGCAGTTTTTCTGCATAGGACACATCGGTTTATCCCTTTGTTGAAAGACCAGTTGCCTTTAGCTTACATCACTATTTTTCCAGAAAACAAAGATTGTCGTTTTAAAATGTGTATATTCTCATACACTAAAACATACTGTATGCACTACTGTTTAAAAGTTTGGAATCAGTACGATTTAAAATAAAATGTATTGCATCAGGAAGGATACATTAAATTGATAAAATATGTCAATAAAGACATTTATAATGTTACAAAAGATTTATATTTCAAATAAATATTGTCCTTTTGAACTTTCTATTTTATCAAAGAGTCTTAAAAAAAATCATGTTTCCACAAAAATATTAAGCTGCACAACTGTTTTCGACATTGATTATATTATGAATTGTTTCTTTAACAACAAATCAGCATATTTTAATGATTTCTGAAGGATCATGTGACACTGAAGACCGGAGTAATGATGCTGAATATTCAGCTTTACCAACATAGGAATAAATTTAAACTGTTATTTTAAATTGTAATATTTTACAATATTACTGTTTAGCTATATTTTTAAATAAAAAAACCCAAAAAACTGCCTCAGGGAGCAGAAGAGACTACTTACAAAGACATCTTACCGACCCCAAACTTTTGAACAGTAGTGCATTTTTTTTTATTTCAAAATATAGAATAAAATAGCCAAAAATATATTGCTAAAATAGATGCTAAAATATGTTTAAATACAAAATATGGTTTGTACAACAAACGCTTTAGTTGCTTACATTTCCTCACATATTTTTTATTTTTTATCTTAATATATAAATTTTTCCAAAAAACACGAATTGTATTTTAATATTTGATTTGAAATATATTTTCTCGCACCTTAAAGTACATTTTATATTTTTTTAATTTTACCACTTGAAGGTTTTAATGATTGTTTTCGAATTTGAAAAATATATTCCTTAAGCTATACTTTTTACAGATATTAAGCATATGTTTGAAATATATTGGGGCACAAAAAATTGCAGTATGGGTCTTCTAAAGCTTACTTTTTTCAACTTTTTACTTTAAATAGTACACTAGCATATAGGTGGCCTCAAAGCTAACATACATAAACCAAAGCCACAAAACTGGTTTTATGGGGTCTTTCAATCATTTCTAAAAATGATTCCAGATGATGAATAAATGTATAAATGTAAATGAAAAATGAATAAATGTAGCACACTTACACAGGGGTGGACACCAGAGCATTGTTGATAGAGGGGATGTCAACGGTAGCAAAGAGGTGGCCGTCCATGTCATTGACTCCAGCGATGTAGTCAATGTCAGCAGCATTTTGGAAAAGGGTTTCAGGCTCGCCGGGGATGAAGTCACCATCGATGACGGGGGACAGATCCAGTTTGTGCACAATTGGATCTGGAAAAGATAGTCAGATTTGATCTTTTGACTTTGTGCAAACCTGCATGGCTTTTATACACTGACTTGTTCACTGGTATTCCCAGTAAAAGAACGACAAGTTGTGCAGGTTTGGAACGACATGGGAGTGAGTAAAAGATGACTGAATTTGAATTTTGGTTCAACTATTGCTATAGAAAGCTAGCCTGGCTAACGTCAGACCACGTCTCATTGACATTGAGACGTGGTCTGGGAACCACATGTTCTCGTATTTGAGGCGTGGTTTACGAATGCCCAGAGCCGTTTATTGGGTGCTACGAATGTCTATCAAATGCGCCTGTACGTAGCTCATAGCCAATCGTTTCAATTATACCAGATGACGTATGTAGAGCGAAAGAAATTAGACGAGGAAGAAGACGATGGGTCAGAGATTTATTTGCGTTCTAAACTACTTAGAACAATATCCAAGGCTGCATCGAAAGGTAACTTCACGTCTGCTGCCATGTTTGATCCATAGGTATTAACAAACTGCTTCGGTGTGTCGCATAGACGTTGTCATCGTCTTGCTGCTCCCTCCCCGTTCTGTGATTGGTCCCCTTGCTGAGGCGAAAATTTGGTCCATGGTATCAGACTGCCTAGCAGTGTGAATAAAATCGTGCTGCGCAAAGGCAGTATGGGGAAACCCAGGCTAATAGAAAGCATGTAAAGGGCTAAAACACAAGCAGCCACTCTTGAATATTCTTACCACTAGCAGATGTACTTAGTTCCACATTCCCAGCAAGAGTAACAAGCTTTGGATCTGTCATCTTCAGACAAGCCACCATCTTGCTATCAGTGGGACATCCTACCTTCTTTGCGATCTAAAGGTGCACACACACATTTTTGTTGTGATATCTATTCATTAATTATTAACAAACCAAAAAAATTGAAATGCCAGTCTGTATATGAAACAGAACAGGTTATATCACTAAGTAAACACTTGCAAGTGTACAGTAAAGTGTTTCGCAAAAGGTTGGGAATGAGAGTAAACAAACCCCCAAGGATTTTGGGACCAATGTATATCAAATGCTAGCACTGTACACAATGCACTAGGTCTGTTTTATAATGAGTATTCAGCAATGTGGGACATTCATGAAGACGATGCTCACCTTCTCAGCAGATTGTCGTGGATTTCTGTTGACGGCCCAGGGACAAAGAGCAACACCACTCTGTGAGATAGCTCTGCGGACCAGGCCCTTGTTTTTAGGGGAAAGAATCTGTGCAGGATGGGACACACAACAGACCTTAGACCTTCAACCTTTATTACCGAGGACCTCTTATGGTTTTCATACCGATAATAAACCAAGCCCTCACGCAAACCTGTTGCCATTAGATTTAAAGTGAAAACATTATTTAGCCAAATTATGAGCCCTTCAAATAACGAGGGCTACTTCAACAGTTTGCATTATTGTGAAGACATTTTCAAAAATGACCTCGTCCTAGCAAATATAGCCAGACCAGCACATGTACGCCCACTCATTAAAATGTAATACATAAGCCTGCAAGCAGAATGTTTTTTTAGTTGTTTTTTTTATGAAGCACCTGGAAGTTTACGCTGGCTCCACCTGCTGACTCGCCAAAGAGAGTGATGTTGTCTGGATTACCACCGAAAGCTCTGATGTTCCTGTGTACCCAAGCGATAGCGGCGTGCTGATCCCACAGGCCATAGTTTCCTATCGACCAAAACATGCTCAGATCATCATTTAAGTACTACAATCAATTAATCAACCCATACATATGCATACAGTCAGGCACGGATTAACGCACGGGCCTACTGGGCACTTGCCCAGGGCACTGGGCCAGCAGGGGGCCCTGTAAAATGTACTGTCTATTTTTTTCAAATAATTATTTTTATTTTATTTTTATTTTCAGTAAAATTGTGTTAAATATTGAGGAATAATGTGATTTTTTTGCAGTTGCAAAGTATTAACTAGTAAATAAATCAAATAAATAATTTTAATGTATTGCTGCGCTGTTGAGAAGGACATCTAGAGGCGAGTGAAAAGCATTGCGTAATATAAAAGTCACGCGTAGAAGACGGTTACTCAAAAACCAAAACAAAAATGAGTTTAAAACCACAACCAAGGCAGAACATAGGCTAAGTTGTTTATGTTTTACAATAGTAGCCTATGGGCTTATTTTATTAACGAAATGTCAATCTTCATCTTTATAACAGAAGATATAATACAATACAACAATCTTCAAGAGTAAATCTTCAAATGTGTAACGGATTGTCACCTTAAAAAGTGTCTTTTGTGGTGGAACAAGCAATGCTATATAGCATCTTAATTTAATCTTTGTTTTATTATTTTAGTTCATTAACTAATTGTTAACTCAACTAATTTAACGTAAAGACCTGGATACTAGAATTAGGCTACTAAATAAAACTAAATAAATGTCAACTAGCCTAAATGCATTGATTAGAATTGCCATTGACTAAAGATTTTCTAGTCGACGACTAGTAGTCATTCCTTTAAGCAATTAGTCGACTAATCTCAAGTTAATATTAATTTCTGCTTAAATACTGAGTGGAGGCATATAGCCTATTCCACGCTCAAGCAAGCGCATGCATAAATATTGCCTCAAAGCACCGGCAAAAGCAGGCTAATGATAATATATGTCTGGAAAAAAACTAGGCATTTTTATTGTTTTAATAATAATAAATTAATTAATTAAATCAGTGTCGGCTCGGCTGCAATCATATCTATATCTCCGCTGTAAAGTGGATGCGCCTTTAGAGAGAAATGCACCTTTCATATCATATCAGCCTAATCAGCATTTGCTTTCGATTCGAATTTTTTCGTTTAAAAGTGGACATTTCAAGCTTTATATAGAAATATTCATCATGTATGTGAGGCTATACACTGTGTTTCAGTTCATTTTTGAGACGCGCTCCAGTTCACGCCACGGAGACCATGAAAGCGCGCCCTGTTTGTTTTATTTTTTTTTACAAAAGCACAACGTTTTCTTGTTATTGTGAGTTTACAAAAATAAAAGTAGCTACTTGCGACTGATGCATTATTCTTTTCTGTACAGGCCTATGACCAGAAAAGATTGAGTAGGCCTATTTCAAGTTGTTTCCACTGTTGATAGGAAAATGCAAGTGTTCGCGCCGACGCCTGCCATGCAGTGCGCGCTGCACACTCCGCACACGCACTTGGATATGCATTTATCTAGGTTAAAGTTAGAGCGAGCTGCCATGCCAGACGGATAAGTTATTTTCATGTTTAACAAATCAAATCATGCATTTTCTACCTACCGCGAGTAAGCGCTGCACCAGTTTGAAAAAGGTAAAAGCATAACGAGCGTAACGAGCGAGAGGCCCCACACTGGGGGATGCAGAGATGTTGCTGCGTCTGTTATTATTAACATTTCTGATTGTTTAAATGACCAGCCCTCGGGGGTCCCCTCAAAATGCCTGGCTTGCCTGCCCACTGTTGTCCAAAAAATTGGTGAAGGGGGCCTTTGAGACATCCGTGCCCAGGGCACATCATCGCCTTAATCCGTCCCTGCATACAGTACATATACAATCTCTAAAACAGTGGAGTCAAGTCATGCTTTGCTTTTGTTCACGAACCTTTTGCATTCCCCTGAGAAACTTTGCAAAGTTTTTCGAGGGAATGCTACGGAGCCCCTAAAGTGGCACGGTGAAGGAAAATGAGAGGGAGGAAAAATGATTTGCCAATGCTTTTGCATTATCTCGCAAAACCTTTGCGTTCCCCCTAGAAACTTTGCGCTCCCTCGCAAAAACTTTTGCGTTCCGCCGTGAAACTTTGCGTTCGCTCGCAAAGAGCTCAAAACAAAAGGTTTTGCGAGCGAACTCAAAATTTCTCGGGAGAACGCAAAAGCATTGATTATTTTCGCAAAAGTTTCGCAAGCTAATGCAAAGTTTACTACGGAGGCCCTAAATGGACATGGTGATGAAAAAAGATGGGAGGAAAAATTATAATGCTTTTGCGTTCTCTCACAAATGTTTTCAGCGCCATTCCCCTTTAGGTGCTCCGTTCCTTTGCAAATCTTTTGCGTTCCCCCAATAAATTTACGTTCGCCCGCAAAGAAGTTTTGCAAGTGAACGCAAGTTTCCCTTGGTAACGTAAAAGATTTGTAAAGGAACGGAGCACCTAAAGGGGAATGGCGCTGAAAAAATTATGGGATGGGAGAAAAAAAAATATTTTAATGCTTTCGTGTTCTCTTGCAAAAGTTTTGCTTTCCGCTGAGAAATAATATGTTCGCTCACACAACCTTTGCATTCCCTCGCAAAACTTTTGCGTTCTCCCGAAAAACTTTGAATTCGCTCGCAATAACTTTTGCGAAAGTTTTGCGAGCAAACGCATAGTTTATACGGGTAAACGCAAAGTTTCTCGAGGCTAACGCAAAACTTTTACAAGAGAACGCAAAGAGCATTAACATATAATTTTTCCTCCCATCTCATTTTTTTTTATCACCATATGATCACCATATTTATGACTTATATTCAAATGAAATTTACCAGGTGCGTCAGCATCTCCGCTGCTGAGGAATCCGAGGGCTCCGACACGGTAGTTGAACGTCACCACGATGACATTTCCTCTGTCTGCAATCTCCTGTCCATCATAAAGGTAGTTGTTCAAGAAGTTTGCACCCATCCCACCACCCATCAGGAAGCCACCACCATAGATGAACACCATAACAGGCAAATTGGTAGACACTGCAAAAAAGAGGTTCAAGCCAGACATATTTGTTAAAATGTTATTCTCAAAGGGCTAGTTCATCAAAAATGAAAATTCTGTCAAAGTTTTCCCATCAAACACTGCAAAACAACTTTGGACCCCATTGACTTTCATTGTATGGACAAAAATGTTTTGCGCAAGTCATACAAGTTTGGAATGTCATGAGGTTGAGTAAATGATGACAGGATTTTCTTTTTTTTGGTAAACGATCCCTTTAACATACTTTTTTTGTCTTGTGAATTAGAACAGGTTTGCGTTACCAGAACGTCCGTGAGGGACCCAGATGTTCAGGTAGAGACAGTCCTCACTGCCCAAGACTTCTTTACCGAGAATATTGAGCTGCATACACCTATTTGCATACTCAGTGGCTTTCAGGACACCTGTGCAGGGAGAGTCAGCAAGAGTAAGCTGTTAATACACTCACGCACTTATTTTAGACCCCAGCTAGGCCTGGTAATCAGTGCCTAAAAAGGTCTAGACAAGCTTGCACGACAGACAGGTATACGCACCATCCCAGCCTGGGTGAGGAACCGGCTTCGCCAATCTGCCAGGTTGAGCAGCGAAAGGAATTCCCTTGAACACGTCCACATAGCGGAAGAGTCCAACACTACGACTCTTTCCCTGTACCATCCCTCCCTCTGTGTACACAGATCCCAGCTGCAACATGTTCACAATTAAATTTGGCTAGAAATTGCAGCATAGCATAGTATTTTGAGCATTTTAGCCACTTCCTGCCACAGTGTCAGGTTTAGATTTCCTGCATTTCTATTCTCTACTAAAACTTTTGCTTCTGCTCGCGAAACTGCATTGCAAATACAGAATTTCTCTGGGAGAAGTAAAAGTTTTTACTTTCCCCTTAGGGGCTACTTATTAAAGTTAAAATAGATATAATTTTAATTAAAAGATTCATAATAAGACTTAGTATTATTTCTTCTTATTAAAGGCACCATGTGTAATTTTCGCCGCTACAGGTCGCTTATTTAAAAAAGGCTTAGCTTGATGACGCCATGATTTCGCAGAATCATGGGAGTTCCTCTACAGCCGGAGGAAAACAATCCGATGGGACTCGGGCAGTCATGGATGATGTATTAAAGATTTATTAACGTTATGAAGCAGGACGGGGCTGAAAGCCACTGGAGCGATTGCTAAAGAGAGACAAACGCGACACACGGCTCGAGAGCAGTGGAGCTTTTATTATGCCGCAGACGACCACTTCCTCTTTTTCCGGTCATGCGTATGTGTGGTAACGCAGCACTGTTTTATCATAGTATTATTGAGTGTGTTGAAAGTTATAATGCTACTCTGGTTTGCTGCTATGCGGCTACTATGAGACACTTGTTGCACACTGCAGTAAGCTAGATCAATTTTAGGCATGGTAAAACATGGTACTCGCGGTAAATCAAGAAAACGAGATTTAAACATTAAGACTGTGTTGAGCTATATAACAATGATTAGTTTTCTGTCCATGATTGTATCCAAACAGTTGCTCACCTGTCTAATAAAACGGATAATATATTAAAGAGTCTTTGGTGTTTCCATGGTTTCAACATAATAAAACAGGAAATCGAGGGTAACGCTGGTTTGATGGCATTGATAGGCGACGCACGGACACGGTCCCTGGCCTGGTTAAAATGACTTATTTCTCTGGATTTAAACATTCTTAGAAATATTTGGGATAATGTAAGTAGCCTACACAAGTCAACAAAATATATAACATTGTTTTAGTGGTTTTTGGATATTTTAATCCAAAAATCTTACATATTGTGCCTTTAATATAGTACTTCACAATAACTTCATTATTAAACTAAACTACTAAAGCATAATAAGTTAAACATATACATAACTCTCAAGCATTTAATAATTATATGTATGTTATATGTTATATTTAAATAACTCTTTAAATCCCCAAATTGACTATAAACCTATTAAATACAAATCTTTACTTGAATTCATATCATAGCTTACAGAAGCTGCATTTGCTGTCCCCAGGATGAGGGCAACAGAGATGAAAACTCCCAGCATCGCCATCATCAGATAGTGGCTGCAAGTGTGGCACTGAAGGGAATTCTGTCTGCTTTTATTAACTCAAACGCAAATCATATCTCTCTTCGTTCCCAGGTGTCACAAAGCCATATCTTACCAAAAGTACACAGTCCCTTCTAGTAACTGGACCACATGTGTGCAGTTGTGTTAAAGTCTCACGGAGACTTCATTAGAGCTTTGTGTAATCTCAATGACAGAAACACATTTTCTTTTCCATTTCAGAGAAATATTTATGAATGATAAAAACCTTTGAGCCTTTTGCAATAAACAAATCAATTCTCCATCTGCAAAAATGGGTAAATACAATACGGGCTAGTTGCCACTTTTATTTTCTCTATTGAACATTTCTCAGGGTTGATTTATTTTTTCAATTTACTTTATGTATAAACGCACCTTAAAGTGTTGGCTACAAATAAAATGAAATAAAAAAAAGTTTAGGGTCGGTATGATTTTTTTAAAATGTTTCAGTCTTTTGAAAGAAAGCTGCATTTATTTAATAAAAAATTACAAACAGGAATATTGTAAAATATTATTGCAATGTAAAAGTTAATATAAATGCCATGTATTCCTGTGCATTGGAAGCATCATTACTTTAGTCTTTGGTTCTTCAGAAATCATTATACTATGCTGATTTGCTCCTCAAAAAACATTTCTTATTATTAATGTTGAAAACGGTTGTGCTGCTTAATGTTTGTGGAAATCAATTCTTTGATAAACAGCATAAAAAAAAAAAAATTGAAATCTGTTGTAACCATGTAGAAGTCTTTACTCTCAGTTTTGATCAATTTAATGCATCCTTGACGAAAAGTATTTAAAAAATACTCAAACTTTTGAATATATAAATAAATAAATAAATAAATAAATGCTGGGCAGCAATCAGAAGAGAAAAAAAAAACTATGCATAGAAGTATCTGAAACATACAACTAACAATTGTGTGACTATTTTGATACTGTTAATGAACATTCAGTTAAGTTGCAACTTCTCTTTTATTACTGTATGTCAGATAACAGATGACAAAACCATTTATTATCCAAAAAAAAAAAAAAAAAACTAATTTCTATCAGTGTCCAAAGTTGTTTTTTACATTTACACATCCAATCCTTTATAAGTGCCAGACATGAAACTGAAGGAGAATTACATGTAATCTGCAATCTCAGTTTCCATTTCGTTGTCACTCGCATCAGAAGGCTTGTAATCTTCATCATCATCGTCGTCATCTTCGTCTTCCTCGTCTCCGCTGTCAACAGTTTTGGGTCTAGTTCTTGTAGGCTTTTGGGTGGATGATGCTACATCAATAAAATATCACACAATATACAAAATAAAGCCATTTTTATTTAATAAATATTATTTAGCTATATTTAATAATTAAAGGTGGGGTATGTGATTCTCTTTTTTGTACATTTTTTCAAAATAACTTGAAATCCTATTCCTAACCCACTTACAGCCACTGAGTTAGAAGCACTGAAATGAAAATTAAGCAATTTAATCATCTGTGGAACGGGCAGGACTCGAAAAACTCCAGCCAATCATTTCCAAGACCACCAGAATCATTGGACAGTAAGTCCGTCAATCAAACGGTTGTACCACACCCCCCTCCCCCCAGCGCGCGTGACCCCCGTCGTGCGCATACTCAAAGTTTGTGACGCATGCGCATCTCGTCAGTAAAGCCGGTTCCATGATTAGTAGTGAATCGTCATTACAATCTCTCGCGCATCTGAGTTTTCGCTCGTGCATGATTACGCGTCCATGTTCTTCGAATGGGTGGAGTCAGAGCCGGCGTTGGAGGAAAGAAGGTAGGACCATTTGAATTGTATATTTTCAAAATCTGCCGGTCGTTTTCCAAATCACATACCCCACCTTTTACAATGCATTTTTTGTGTGTGTGTGTGTGTGTGTGTGTTTTACCTGGGCGGTTAGGTTGGACGTGTTGCTGGATCATTTCAGAAATTATATTCCTAAGATCGTCGGCCGTGTGGGGCACACACCAGCCATCTCTCTCATCACACACTTCCTCTTTTCCATCATTCGTATGGATGATATTCTTTATTCTTAAAAGAAGAAAAAGAAAAGTGCTGTAAAGGTCTGGAGGAGTGGGATTGAATTAAATGATTGAAAAGAAAGACATCAAAGTTCCAACCTGATCTCACAGGAAAACGTAACTATGTTAAAAGGTGGCGATTTACTATCAGTGTTCTTTTAGTATTATTGAGAAATGAATATGTTTGTTATAATTATTTTTTTATATTTTTATATTTTCTATTTTAATTTAAATTTTAGTTAAAGTATTAGAATTTTTTTTTTAAATTTTTGTCATTTAAAAGGTACACTATGTAACCAAAACATGTTTTTGTCTTACCCTGATTCACTATGGTAAGCCTATTAGAAGTGTTTATATTTATGCAGCTTTGGGTATTTGGACGGGGCCCCAACTGCATTGGCACATCAACTACCTAGAGTTGCTTGCGCTGGGCCGCTTTAAATCGCCACTACTAGGCAAGCACGTACTGGTCCGAACGGATAGCACTGCGGCCGTTGCATACATCAACCATCAAGGTGGTCTACGCTCCCGTCGCATGTCGCAACTTGCTCGCCATCTCCTCCTATGGAGTCAGAAGCATCAGAACTCATGCTCATGACAGCCCCTCCCTGGCGCATTCCTCTGAGGAAGGACTTGATTTCTCAGAGACGGGGCACCCTATGGCACCCGCGTCCAGACCTCTGGAATCTCCACGTATGGTCTCTAGATGGGACGCGGAGGACTTAGGTGATCTACCCCAGGTGGTGGTAGACCCAGCCCTATCTTTGCGCCTGTACATGGACCGAAAGCAGAGCTTCAGGACCTCAGACCAGCTCTTTGTCTGTTATGAAGGCCAGCAGAAGGAAAAGGCTGTTTCTAAGCAGAGGATGGCCCACGGAAAAGTGGATGCCATCGTCTTGGCGTACCAAACCCAAGGCGTGCCGTGCCCCCTCGGGTTGAGAGCTCACTCTACCAGAAGTGTTGCTTCCTCCTGGGCACTGGCGCATGGGCGCCTCGCTGACGATATATGTAGAGCTGCGGGCTGGGCGACACCCAGCATGTTTGCCAGATTCTATAGTCTGTGTGTCGAGCCAGTGTCCTCCCGTGTACTCGCCCCAAGTGGCCAGTGAACGCCGGGTAACCACACTGCCATTCACCTCCTATTGACCGAATATGTACGCTTATTTTTGCTTTTCATGCGAGTTCCCCAAACCGGCCAACACTGTTGAGTTCCTCCACCACCCTCGGCAGTCGAACGTGGCAGAGTGTCCGACGCCAGGCCTAACACTCTAATGTGACTAATGTGTATTCTTTCAAGGTAAGGCTTCCCTATCGGCGAGCCTGTGTCTTTCCCTTGGCAGAGTCCGCTCTGCCGAATGTAGGCAATTAGCTGAGATAAAATAAAATTCTTATACATTTTTATTTATTTCAGTTAAAATGTATTTTATTTCAAAAGACAATTTTTTAAAATTGTTTTAGTTTTAGTTAACTATAAAACCCGTTTTATATGAATTCGTATGATGTGAATAGTACAGAAATGTATGATTATTAGAAACCAAAATTAAGGCCCCTAAACACACCCATCACTAGGGCGTTAGCAGATCATACGAAAACGTACTTCCAAATGAGATTGTACGAATTAGCCACAAATTCATTCGAATTAGCCACAAATTCATTCGAATTAGCCACAAATTCATTCGAATTAGCCACAAATTCATACGAATTAGCCACAAATTCATACGAATTAGCCACAAATTCATACGAATTAGCCACAAATTCATACGAATTAGCCACAAATTCATACGAATTAGCCACAAATTCACCAAAACGTAAAATACTTACGAATTGCAATGAGATTGTGTTGAAAGTTCTTACTTTTCTACATCCAGATCACACAGCTGGTAGAACATCTGCCGGTATGGAGGGAGCATTCCCTCCCGGAACATGTAGACTGAGTCCTTGAGAGAAAGTTCCACAAAACTGGTTTAAAACGCTTCCTCGACATTAGCTGCTGATCAAGGCAAAATCCACTGTGCTATAACATTTAAATTAAAAATTAAATAACTGAAAATACCTTTAGTATGTACTTGGCAGTAGCAGGTTTGGGTCCTGTAGATGAAGAACTCTCCTGGGTGATGTCAGATACGCTCGCAGGTTGAGGAACTAAAGAAGTGAACGAAACAACCATACACTACCATGAAAAGCTTTGATCATTTACAGTTAAAAAGTTTAAAATACTACACTACCGGTTCAAAAGTTTGGGGCCAGTACATGCTTTAAAAAAAATTGTTTTTATATATATATACTTTTATTCAGAAAGGATGCATTAAATTGATCAAATGTGACAGTGAAGATATTTATAATACGAAAGATTTCTATTTTAAATAAACGCTGTTCTGTTGAACTTTCTATTCATTAAATAATCCGGAAAAAATTATGCATAACAATTTCCACAAAAATATTAAGCAGCAAAACTGTTTTCAACATTGATAATAAATTAATAAATGTTTCTTGAGCAGCAAATCAGCATATCAGAATGATTTCTAAAGGATCATGTGACTCTGAAGACTTAATGATGCTGAAAATTCAACTTTGCTATCAGAGGAATAAATTACATTTTAAAACATATTCAAGTAGGAAAGTTATTTTAAATTGTAAAAATATTTCACAATATTTTCAGTGTTTTACTTTATTTTTGATCCAATAAATTCAGCATTGGTAAGCTTAAAATACTTCTTTACAAAACATTATAACATTTTTAACAACCCCAAACTTTTAAATAGACATTAATCTCTTTAAGTTTTAGAACCCAAAACCTCTTGGATTATAAAGGTCAGAGAGGAAAAACGAAGTAATTATATAATGAACACCTTAAGGGGAACACTGTGTGCCAGAACATTTGTATCTGTGTTTTTGTACCTGCCCTGTTGATAGTGGTTGGGCGGGTGTAATGATAAGCGCTTCTCTTGGATTTCACTGGCATGTCATTGACACCAAATCCTACAGAGACAGAAAATTACAGGAATTATGTGTGTATTGTCATTTGTACTCACAACTTGTGTCAAAAAACGTTCTGCAATCTTATGGACAGTTTTGTATAGCAGTCTTGGCATGTTTAAGTCGAGGAATAAATCATATTTAGGACTGTTATGAATGTGTTTTGGTTGATCGCTCACCATGTTTCATTCCGTAGCGGATCCTGAAGTCTAGAACCTGGTAGATTTTTGCTTCAGCTCTTTTTCGAGGATCGTATCCAAACCTGACCCACAAACTCCTCCACGGCCCTGTTAACTACACGTAAAAACTATTTTCATGTGAGGTTGTAAGATACAGTTGCCATCAAAATTATTCAACCCCCCGGAGACTGTAATAATTGAGCTTTTCTAAAGATACAGAGTTAAAATTAGTGGCAAATTAAAAGTGATAATGTTAATATATAATGTAGTTCTCGAGTTTTAGTTTTATTTTTTTTTTTGGTAATACAGCTACCGGTATGTCATAACGCTACTTATTTGCATGGTATGGTACAAAATTGTGTTAAAACACAGTTAAGCCTTTGGAAACTCTATAATAAAACTGAATTAGCTTGTGGTATTACACATACATACATTTAGTCCATGCATGTGCCAAAGTTAGTTGAGTTGCAAATATGGCCAAGTCAAAAGAGCTCTCACAAAAGCTATAGAGAACAAATTGTTTTATTACATTAGAAAGTCTATGGCTACAAGAAGATTTCCAAAACACTAAAATGTTCCTAAAGACACAGCTGGCAGCCTTATTCAGAAGTTTAAAGTTTGTTGTACCAGAAAACCTTTGAGGGTTTTGAAGAAAAATCACAATATCATTAAGAGGAATAAAATGTTTGATCAGAGCAACTGAGAAAACCCCTCAATTTACTGCCCAAAAACTTGCAAGATGACCTGATGAAAGGAGAACACTAAGACAAGCATGGCCTTTATGTTGGGACATCTTGCCGAATGCCACTCTTGACCAAGAAAAACACTTGAAGAAATGAATATGCTAAAATTCATTTGGATAGACCTGTAGACTGTAGACATTTGGATAGACTGTATGAATTCTTTGAAGTATCAAGCCATTTTGGCAAAGAAGGTGATGCCTTCGGTGCAGAGACTGAAGCTTGATGATCAATGGACTTTCCTGCAGGACAGCCAGCCCAAAAAAAGACATCCAAATCTACTTAAGTTTGGTTCAGGGCTCAGTTGTAGAATGTGGCCTGTACAGTTTTCAGATTTAAATCTCATTAAAAATATTTGGTGGAAAACCAAAGATTATCAGTGATCTGGAAGCTTTTTCAAGTGAGGAATGGGCCAAGATTGCAGTGGAAAGGTGACAGAACCTTCTAAGCACTTACAGGCAGCGTTTATTGGAGGTTATAAAGAATAAGAGAAGTTTGACTTTTGGGGGTTGAATAATATTGTAAATGAATGGGGTTTTATTTCCCCATTACCTTTAAATTCTCAGAATCACTCAAATGTGTATTAATAAACTTTCTATTGTTGAATTGTTTTCATAAAATGTTATTCTCGGCAGCTGAATGTCTTGCAGGTCAAGGGGGTTGAATTTTGATTGCAACCGTATATAGGTCGGCCCACACCAAAAATCTGGGTATCAAAATGTAATGCCTAGAAATAAACATTTTATGATTTTAAAAAACAACTTTCACTATTTCTAAATCACTAATCTAAAAAGAAAAATTGTGACATCGACTATGTGAACAAAAATCAAATCAGTGGTCTTTATTTTTTACACAAACTAAAGGATTTTATGCCAACCATGGAATTTAGGGTTACTTCTGAATGGCAGTCTTGAACTTTAGGCTTTCTGTGCAATAAGATGGGTTTAGAGACAGTATTTTAACACACTGAAAAGAATACCACATTATATTTAAGTTTATTAAACGTAGAGTTTTCTCTGTTAAACTACTCACCATGTAGTACGCCACATAAGGGAGGAGGTGCTTCATCTTCTCAGGGTGAACGTTGACGTTGGCCTTGACGGCATTGCGAGACCATATGGGCCTTTTCTCGAAAAGCTGCGGATTAATCATATTAATCAGTAGTATTTTCAAATGAAACCGCATTGGAGCACAGGTGGGATTATGATAAGATAAGGACATTTTCCCATAATATATAACCAGAGTTGTTGTCCAATAGTTGCTTAAGTTGACGTTGACAGCTTTTTTAAAAAACAACTTATAGTTTTAACCTTTCACCTAGTTGTCAAACATCCACTCCCACGAAGCATTGAGAATTACGTAAACGAGTCTCATATATGCAACATATATGCACTCTTGTTCAAAAGTTTGGGGTCAGAAAGATTTTTTTTTAATGTTTTTGAAAGAACTCTCTTATGCTTACCAAGACTGCATTTATTTGATCATAAATACATTAAAAACAGTTATATTGTGTGATATTATTAATAAAATTTAAGCTGTTTGATATTTTAATATATTTAAAAATGTCCTTTATTCCAATGAATTTACTTGAAATAGAAATCATTTTGTCTTTACTGTCTCCTACTGACCACTAAACTTTTGAATGGCAATGTATCTGAATATTCTTTTTCCAATATATTGTTTTAATATTATAATCAATTAGTACAAAAAAGTAATTGTGTTTTTTTTACAATGTCGTCAGCTTCTTCTTAATGTGATTTTTAGTTTAGCCCCTCATATAATATTTTAAAATAAATATTTTTTTGCTTCAAATCAAATGTTGTAATGTTGTGATCATCTTGGAGATGGTTGATGTATTTAACACATTGAAAACATGTAGAACAATTTTACCAACCTGTTTGAGTTGCTGCTCTACCTTTACATCGCTAGGATGGATGCAGACCTTTTTCCAGCTGGTCACTGCAGCTTCTAGAGGTCCTGATGGAACGGTCTTGTCATCAAAGTTGACAAAAATGGCATTGTTTGGCCGGCGAGCCCGATTCGGGGCAATAAGATGATCTTTTAGGAGAACAGACTGCATTGCAGTCTCCCTGCTGTTTATTGGGAAGCAGACAAATTATGTAATCAACAAAACAAACCACCAAAAACACACATACAGCTGAACTTAGAACAGTTCGGATCATTTGCAGTTGCAACCAGTCAACTTTTCAGGTCCTACTTCAGCTTACCTGTGCAATACATCTGGACGATAGTAATAATCCACAGCCGTGTCCAGGCGAGAGAAAATGGGAGGAGGAAGGAAAAGTGGCACAGGACTGTCATAGAATTCCTTCTTCTCAGGTTTGCACAAAATGATCTTGTCGTACAAAGACACCTGGTTGCCATCTGGATCACTGTGAGATGCCAGGTACTGGAAGTCAGCCATTCCTGAAGAATCAAGATCAAGAATGTGTGAGTATTAAAGGGATAGTCCACCCAAAATTGAAAACTTTGCCATTTTTTACTCACCCCCATGTCATTTCAACCCTTTGAAACAATATATTACAGTATATATATATTTAATCTCTCTGTAGTTTGGACCACATCGTTCTAAGAAATATCTTCTTTTGTGTTCCAACAGGGTGAGTACATGATGATAGAATTTTGATTTTTGGGTGAAGTTGGAATTGCAACTCTAACTAGAAAGTAAAGTTTGTTGGGACAAACTTTGTTGTTGATTTGACAAGCTTTAAATTTAGTGAAGTGGAAAGAAAGAAAGAGTGTTGCTAGCATGAATTAACATGTCTTAGCACATTGCTAGCATGGATTAGCATGTTTTGCTAACATGTTTTAACAGGTTGCTAACATGAATTAGCATGTTGATAAGATGGTTTAACATGTTGCTAGCATGTTTTAACATGAATTAGCATGTTGCTAACATGATTTTACACTTTGCTAGCATGAATTAGCATGTTTTAACATGATTCACATTTTGCTAGCATGATTTAACATGTTGGTAACATAATTGTACACTTTGCTAACATGAATTAACATGTTGCTAACATGTTTTAGCATTTTGTCCTAGGATAGTCATTAAGCTTTGCCAGTGATAGACAGGTTAAATAATACTCTAGAAGTCTTATTGTACAAAAGTTTTGACCCCCTCATTAAAAGCCTGAGACTTTTTGTAGTTTTGATGTTTGAAGAAAATAGTCGGATCAGTTTAAAAAGATACATCAGCCCGAGTCAGAACAGTCTGAAGGTCTGAGCAGAGTTTGGTGGATGTAGCTTGAAAGCCCTAGGAGGAGGTACTTATAATTTTTGCTAAGAATAATAATAATAAGCTTAAATAGTAGATCAGTATGTTGGCTGTCAAGCCAACATAAAAACTAAGGCTGCAATCGCAATTAACATGGAAATCGCACTTAACCGATTTGGATTATTGCGATTATGAAATCGCAAAGGCTGCGATTATTTGTTATACGCAGCTTGTCAGTGACGGACGGCTCTGTGATCCGTAGTAAATGCTGCTCCATCTGAAAGCACTGTGAGTTTGAGTCGCTTATATCGTGCATTTGAAAAAGCAACACGCATCAAACAGCTTTCCAAACATGAGAAGCATTTATGAACCTCTTGTCCAACAAAAGACAACATTTAATAAATCAATCAAAGCATTTCAATCTTCTGTTTATTCAGCTACAGATAGTATGATGCCCATAGGGATTTCCTGGAATGACGGGCGTTATCTACTTCTGCGGCGGGGCATATTTGGACTGTCTGCGTGAGAGCGCCGGCGTTCAGATGGAGCAGCATTTACTACCGATCGGCCGTGCTGCACTGACAAGCTGCGCATAAAATAATCGCAGCCTTTGCCAAATCGCGTGCGGTTTCATTTCGATTAATCGTGCAGCCCTAATAAAAACTGTATTCATGTAGCATATAATTTAAAATAAAAAAGATCAAGAATAATAATATATATTTAAGTTGTGGTAGAAATTTCTTACATTCATTTAAAAATATTAATTCTATTATTTTAGAAAATACTAGATGGTGAATGTAGACTTTTATACCTTGAAATTTATATGTGGTTCCTATAAGTCCCACTATCTCCATGCTGATTTGGGTCTCTGAACTGTTTCCTTTGCGGGTTCTGCGGCGCACTCTGAGCAGCAGGTTGGTGGAGGAGTAGCGGTTTCCATAAGCGGGATGGCAGAAAGGATCTTTCGGCCGAAAGCGGAGTTCAAGTCTTTTAGAAGAATCTGCATATGTCTGTCCAAAAAAAACAAACAAAAAAAAAAAAAAAAATCCCAGATTTAAATACAATCTACTATACACTCAGTATACACATTTATTACCACTAATATATCATCATCCAATAAATTTGGCTAAATGAAATGGAATCATTTGCTAATATAACAGAATTGAAAATCAGATGTCATGTGATTTTTACATAATGTATAAAACACATCTGCTATGTTATTATTATTATTATGTAGGGAAAGGTGTCATTAATCAAATAGTTTAAAATCAGACAAAATAAAATACAATGACACAAAAAAGTCTGTCAAGAAATACATCTAAAAGTATTCCTTAAATGACGTATTTTAAAACAAGGAAGGGACATCACAATTATTGTACTGCAATGTAACAAATAAAACCATGGAATGCAAAGCATTGATGTCAGAGTCTTTTCTCCTCAGCTGTCATTTACATCAGCCATGTAAAAGATTAATGTAAGTCACAAGGACTGATCTAGAAATCAGTATCACTCTGAAATAAAGCAACAAAAATTCAGAGTCAGCCTAAATGAACACAGTCTAAAAGCATGTGTCTTTTTCATTTAAGCAGCAATGCAATATGATCACCTTGGACACTCCCTCTTCGCCGCCAATACTGTCCAGCATTCTGTCCACATTGTTTACGACTCCCGGGTATTCAACACACAATAGATTAGTGTCAGACAGGACAAGTGTTGCTGTATTTCCTGACACAACAGCTGTATCTTTGCTTTCTCCTTCTGTGCGTGGGGAAACCGGATTGTTTGTATTCGTATGATCCATTTTCACACGATTTTTGTTCGACGCTTATGCATACCTAAACCCCATCTTTTCAATGGTGTATTTCTATTAAAGTGTGTCTTGGTAAACAGTTAAACAGCGAGCGTACATGAACGTGTCCGTTTGTGAAAATCGTCCGGGTAGAACTGCAGGCCAGGAGAAGGAACGTTTGTTCCGGCTCTCTGTGCGCATGCGCAGTAACAATCACCAAGCATGGAGGACGTGAGCGGCTGAAGATTTTTACAATAAAATCACCCTGGACCGCCAAATAAAGTAAGATTTTTGAAATTGCCTCATATTTAAACGTATAGTGGTGTTGTAAAAAGCAATGTTGCTCTAATTAACCGACAAGCTTATGTTAATGGACATTGTTGGACAGGACCCTCTCCATGGCCAGTCGAAAAAAAAAAACAATTAAAAAATGTGTAGAAAATCAAAGAGCCATTTGTTTCGAGTATCTGGAAATTAAATATTTGTGCATCGCGATGATAATCAAATATATAGTAGCACGTTCAAGTTTGGAAAAGAATTACACTGATGCAATGACAACATAAATGTTGTAAACATCACTCTAAGTAGTTGACACATAGAAGTTTGTTAACGTTACTTGTTTTTGATTTATTACCCAATGAGACATACATGAGTATGTCAAACCTCAAGTGTCAAACCTAATGTAAGAACCTCAGAAAGGTTTTAGCTAAAATAACAGTACTTCACTAATGTCTTATTGTAAATCATAATAATAATAATATCTGGTAACACTTATATTTATAAGGTTTATAAGGTTCATTAGTTAACATTAGTTAATGTATTAACTAACATTAACTAACCCTGAGCAATACATTTGTTATTGTATTTATTAATCTTTGTTAACGTTAATAAAAATTCAGCTGTTCAATTGTTTGTTCATGTTAGTTCACAGTCCATTAACTAATGTTAACAAATACAACCTTTGATTTTAATTACGTATTAGTAAATGTTGAAATTAATATTAACTAAGATTAATAAATGCTGTAGAAGTGTTGTTCATTCTTAGTTCATGTTAACTAAGGTAGTTAACTAATGTTAACTAATGAACTTTATTGTAAAGTGTTACCAACCATATATATTATAAAATTATTACACAGAGAAAGATGATGCGCAGATCAAGAATTAGCATAACAGTATACTTCTAATGATATATTATAAAATTATTACACTTTATGTATGTTTATTTAACATGTATGTATGTATGTATGTAAGTGGTCAAATCGATTAATCAAGATAATCGCATCTAACATAAAAGTTTGAATATATATACATACACACACACACACACACACACATACATATATAAATAAATTTTTTCCCCGTTTAAACAGAGAAAGATGATGCGCAGATCGAGAATTAGCGTCCGCCCCAATGTGAAGCCCACAGGCCGAGCTCCGGTAGCTTCTCAAGATAATGTTCAGCTTCCCCAGGGTCTTGCTGACTCTGCTCCTTCTGAGGGGTCAGAGGTCATGGCTGAGAAGTTGAAGACTGACCCACCTATAGCATTGGGGCGGAGTAATGAGGAAGCCTCTCAGAGCAGCAGCTCTAATAACCAGTTGGAGGCCATTAGCCATGGAGCGTGAGTCTGAAACTTCAGTCTTATAAATATCAATCTGATTATGTTTATTAAACAGCAATTTTGTAAATCTGAATGTGTAAAATTTTTAGACTTTTAGAATCATTTAATTGGAGTAAAGACATACAGTATGAGACATATTTCAACATTAAATTTTGAAATGAAAATTTAAATTTACATACATGTACATTCCGGGGACACACTTCACGACTAGCTGAAACATTCTAAGAGTGACTGAACACACTTACAGACTGTTTCCAACGACCTCAGCAGATTTTAAACACTGTGAACACCAACTGAACGCGACTCTGCGTGTTTGGGCATGATCAGTCGTAAGTATCAAATAGCATTCATAATCGGCCTTACAGTCGTTAAGTGTGTCCTCGGCTGTAGTTAGTGTTGTCAAAAATATAGATATTTTGATATGCATCGATACTGAAATACCGGTCCCGACTCCCAATACTCCTTTTCTGCAGTATCGATATTCAGAAATTCCAGTATCGTGACAACACTGATGGTATTATCTTTGGTCCTGTGACTAATCAGTATTTCCTTTATGTTTTTTCACCAATTCTAACCATTTTAAATTATCTTTCAGTGTGGGAAATACATTTTTTAAAATTCAAATATTCCATTAAGTTGTCAATTAATGTAGGTCATAAAAACTGCATGTCTGTTAATTACTTATTAGAGACGATACATTTTAGTTGTAGCAATTATCATAGGATACTGCTAAAGCTGCTTTAAAATGGTAAATGGTAAATGGACTGCATTTATATAGCGCTTTCACAGACCCAATGGCCACCAAAGCGCTTTACATTTGCCTCACATTCACCCATTCACACACTCATTCATACACCGACGGGCTTTAAGAATTATGATGTTCCTCAGAATTTTCTTTGTTAGGTTACTACTAGGACTAGATTTTGTTATGTCATTACTTTATGCAAGAGAGATTGCCAGTTTTATCACTGATTCTTTGCTTCACAACAGGGATGTAGCATCTAAAAGTTCTGATGCCCAGGATTCAGCAAGCACCTCTGTGACTTCTGGCCCTCAGAGGAGGAAACGCTTCACAGCTCTGCCCAACTTAGCCAAACCACGAGCTTCCCCAGCCTCCTCTAGGACTCCTAAATCACCATCCAAGTCCCCTGTAAAACCAGTAACACCCAGTGAGACTGAAACATCAACCCCCACTGCAGAGACATCCCTTCAGATACTTGAGCCTGGCCACAACTCCAGCGCTCCTGGAAGACGGAGACCTCCTGGAGGGGGCAGACAGGCCAAAGCACAGCCCATCCCTGAAGCCCCACTGCGGAATGACCAAGAGACAGAGACTCAAGAGGATGGGGGATTGGAAGACACTGTTGTACCGTTGAGCGTCCAGCAAGGGGAGTCCCAACGTCCCCTTAGAACTTCCAAACCTGATACTATTTTGGTTCATGAAAACCCTCCAGAGTGTCCGGTTCCTCCTGCTGTGGAAGACATGGTCGCACAGCAGGAGAGTGTTTCTGAGCCACCTCTGGGACAAAGCCAAACTGATCTGTTAAGAGAAAGACTTAAAAAACTTCAGTCGCCATTGAAAATTCTCAAATCGTTAAAAACTCTGAACGACCCGGCAGACATGGTCAGGTTAGCTCAGGCACGGAAACTTCGGGAGCTTCTTAAAAAAGAAATGAACAAAAACAAGGTGTGTATGTGCTTTACATTAGTTTGTTTTTTTGTTGTGTGCAAAGAAAAAAGGTGGTTCTGTGTTTGATCTGGGCAAAAAAAAAGAAAAGCTTTTGATCTTTATAATATGTGTGTATATATATATATATATATATATATATATATATATATATATATATATCAGTATTTAGGTGTGCTATGCAAAACCTAATATATTGGTAAAGAATAAACAATCAAAAATAGTCAAGGCATGTTTTCCCTTAACTGATTTTCTTAAAGGAACCGTATGTAAGATTGTGGCCTAAACTGGTACTGCAATCACTTTCAAATTACTGTAGAGCGGTGTATCCCCTCCCCCCTGACTCGAGGTTGCCAGATAGGCTGCAGGATCCAGCAAATTCTTCTTCGTTTTCAGCCGTCTCCATCTTTCAAAGGCATCTCCTATACAAATCCTTGTTTTATTTCGGACTTTGTCACAAAGTATTTTGGAATCACAACGAGGTTTTTTTGGATTCGTAACGTTAGACATTTTTTTATCCGACACGTTTGTAGCTGCAGCTGTGGTAACTACAGCAGAGCTGGCAACCCGGATGCCGCAACACTGCTGACTTTGTGATTGGTAGATAGGTGGAGGGTGGCGCATCAGACCAAAACACAACATGACAACATCAACATCAGTTGAGGGCTGCAACTTCACTTTTTAAATAACAATATCCTGTCCGGACTACTGTTGTCAGTGATATAAGTATTTGAAATGAACATGATTTCTTAATGTCTAGTGCCATATCAGGGCCATTTTATGATTAATTGAAATACATTTCTTACATACGGTTCCTTTAAGTAATTTGCATTTTTATGCTCCAATATGACAATAAATACAGACATTGTAGTGAGTGGCAATATTTACCTATTTACACTACCATTCAAAAGTTTGGTAGAGATTTGTTAATGTTTGTTTTGAAAGAAGTCTTTTCTGCTCACCAATGCTGCAATTATTTAAACAAAAATATAGTAAAACCTGTAATATTGTGAAATATTATTACAACTGCTTTCTATTTTAATATATTTTAAAATGTAATTTATTCCTGTAATGGCAAAGCTGAATTTTAAACATCATTACTTCATTCAGTGTCACATGATCCTGCAGAAATCATTCAAAAATGCTTATTAGCTGCTCAAGAAACATTTCTTATTAGTGTCAGTGTTGAAAACTTAATACGTATATACATTAAGTTTTGTCCCAGGCTAAAAAGGATTTTCACTGAATCACAATTGAATCAGTACTGTAACCCTGGCATATTTTGGGACTATCACTTTATGTGGAATTCCTAAGGGAATTATTTCAATGCTTTTAAAATGCTACCCTGACCTCTCCATTGACACTTGAATCTAGGAAGACAAGAAGAAACCAAAGTTGGGAATCAAAGAACGCAAGGCACCTAAAGATCACACCAAAATGACCATGAGAGAGCTGCTCTATTACCTGCCCGTTTCCAACCCAATGAAGTACGTGCTGTTCTTAATTCCTTTGTGTGTTTAGGAAGTCCATGTGAACGCAAGTGTTGATATTGGATTTTCGATGCATGTAATGGGGTGTGCAGGGATTAAGACAAACTGATTATTGACAGAGTGTTTTCTAGTTTTCAATGCCTTGGTTTTCTGTACAGGTCTTTCACTGATGAAGAGCAAAAAGCATCAGAGACAGAATTAGATGACTCTCCTACACCAACGTAAGCCTAATCACCCTGTCAATCTCCAAATAGTGCACAAATGCCATTAAGATGTCTATTCAATGCGGGTGGTGTATTGCAGACATTTAAAAAATTCTTATGGTTTAGATTGGATGTGAATCCATATAATTTTGTATTATTATTATTTGCTTTGCATAGAGTGCTATTTTAAAGGCTCCTAATTTTGTTTTGAAGGTCTCCTACAATAGGTTTACATGCATCCAAGTCAAAAAACACTTTGATTTTCTCATAATATACATTGCAGCATCACCACTTTTCTCACTTTTCACTTTTCTTTCCGAGAACCTACTCTGCTCTGATTGGTCAGACGGCCCAGTCTGTTGTGATTGGTCTTCCTGCTTACAGCGCGTGCATTGTACGAAACGGCCATTACCATATCTGAATTTCAGCTCCGGAGGCTTCCAGCACTTGATACACAGTTATACGAACAGTAACGATGGAGTCGGTTTTACCGTATCATTTCGAGCCTGAGTCCTCATCCTTTGGAAGTGCACTCAAAGAGGATATGCTTTTGTTGACAGCATCTTTTGACATGTCATGAACACGAACCAAACTCTTCCAGGCCTCAGCTTTAAGGGTCAAACTAGACGTTGTTTGCGGGGTTCGTGCAGGAAGTAAGACTGGAATTACTGACGACTCGTTTCAGGCAGTTCAGAATCGGTTCTTTCTTTTGGGAGACAATAACTCCATTCATTGTGCACTTTGATATTTAAAACTTTGCAGACCTATTACATTCACAAACAGCTAAATACCGTTACATGAATAGTCAAATCTGGAAAAGGCATAATAGGGGCACTGTATTAAAAATATGGTATTATTAAGTTTAAACCCTCATCAGAACTTCTTGTTTCTCTTTAGTTCTTCTAAGACTCCAGCTGTTCCATCAGTTCAGGAGACGGTGGCAGAAGATGCCGGTAATGAGGAAGACGAGGAGAGAGTGGACGAAACTCAGCCGGAGGAGGAAGAACCTATGGTAGTTCCCAGGGTGAAGGTGGCGGAGGATGGCTCTCTGATTATAGACGAGGAGAGGTCAGTGATGTTCCTTTTTATCCTGAGCTGCTGTTCATGGAGAAGTGTAGTCCAGGAATTAGTAAAGGTGAAGTGTGCAGTCTTTCCAATGTTAAAATGCTATTTATTCTGTTGTGTGGGTGTGTGTAGTTTAACAGTCCAGGTGTCAAGGGCAAAAGGACCCAATCCGGCAGAAGACAGAGATCCCATATTTGAACGTGGTTCTACCACCACTTACTCCAGCTTTAGGAAGGGCACCTACACCAAACCCTGGTCAAGTGGAGGTCTGAAGTCACACACAGTGCAACTCTTAATTTAAAGTGTGTCGTATACATTTCATTTATATATTTTTTATGTCTATTCCAGAGACTGAATTGTTTTTCTTGGCCATCAGCATGGTGGGGACGGACTTCTCCATGATTGGTCAGCTGTTTCCACACAGATGTCGATTGGAGATTAAGGTGGTCACAATATCTTTGTGTTTTGTGCTCTTGTATGCGTGTATTCATATCACTAAACACTTGTATGCCTGATAAAGTCGTTGATTTCATACTATTGTCCAAAAGTTTTCGTTTCAAAAGTTTACATTTTTTTTAAAAGAAGTCTCTTATGCTCATCAAGGCTGCATTTATTTAATCAAAAATAAGCAAAAACATTAATATTGTGAAATTTTATTATAATTTAAACTAAATATTTTCTATTTTACTACATTTTAAAATGTCATTAATTCCTGTAATGGCAAATCAGAATTTGCTTCTCAAGAAACACTTTCTTATTATCAGTGTTGAAAACAGTTGTGCTGCTTAATATTTATGTGGAAACTGTGATATGTTTTTTATATGTTTGAATAGAAAGCTTAAAAGGACAGCATTTTTTTAAATGGAAATCTTTTGCAACATTATAAATGTTGTTACTGTGCCTTTTGATCAATTTAATGCTGAATAGAAGTATTAATTTAGGACATCTTGAATGTGTGCCACAATAATGCAAGCTCATCTTTAAGAGCCTCAATCACCATATTCTTTGGTGTTCTCTTATTCCCCCAGAACAAGTTCAAGAAAGAGGAGAGATATAACTCATGGAGAATAGATAAAGCTTTCAGTAAGTGACCTTTAGTAGTTAACCTACCACCTTAAACTAACCTCTAAAAAAAGACAAATGAAATTGTATTCCTTATGGAATTAAGTATTAAGACAGTTGGTTGAAAATGAAGTAAACTGAAGTACATTTTCAGAGGAGAAGCGACGTCTGGATCTAGATTTCTTTAAAAAATTAATGGAGCAGGTCCTAAAAGACGAGGAAAATAAGAAAAATAAAAACAAAGAGCTCATCAAGTTGGCTAAAGCACAGAGTAGAGTCCAAAGGAAAGTGAGAGGTCAAGGTCAGTTTATTTTAACTTTCAATCTGTTTAAAATGTACAGTTTTTTGGGCAAATTCTTATGCACACTTAAACTATTGTCTGATACAGCGAAAAGAAAAAGAAAGGAAATGGACACTTCAGAGGATTCGGACAGTGATGTGGTTGCAGGAGAAAAGGAGAATGAGGACCTCTCAAATGATGGAGGAAGTGATACCACTTCAAAGAAACACAGGGGAAGAGGGGCAAATACTCCACAGAGGAGAATCAAGAGGACAAACGGAGAGGGTATGCTTTAAGCAACAATGGAAAATATATTCTGTAATAGACCAGGGCCTGGTTTCACAGACAGGGCTTAGATTAAAGGGATAGTTCACTTTGAAATTAATTTTTGATATGTTTTAGCTTGCCTCAAGGGCATCCAAGATGTAGGTGTCTTTGTTTCCGCAGTAGTTTAAATTTTGATATTTTTAGGTCAAACCGTTCTTGTCTGTCAGTCATATAATGCAGGTCTATGGTCACCACCTCAAAGAGCATGCACAGAGAAGTCCAAATTACACATGATTTAATGACTCGTAAATGTAAGTACACATTGATGGCCTAAGACACGAAACGAGCGGTTTGTGTGAGAAAACGAACAGTATTTATATCGTTTTTACCTCTTGTAACCACAGCCACGTCCAAGTGATCATTCTGAGGTCGCGGGCGCTTCGGTCTTTTCTTCGGTCTTTTTCTTTTCCTTGCCGGAAGTGATCTCTCGCGCGTGTACGTCACTCATACAAATTTTTTTTTTTTTTTTTTTTTTTTTTTTTTTTTTACAACGGGTTAAACATCCTGGATAAGCGCAAATTAGTACCATTTTAATTAGTACCATTTTAATTAGCCGTCTTACCTACGTACATGCGCGAGAGATCACTTGGACGTGGCTGTGGTTACAAGCGGTAAAAACGATATAAATACTGTTCGTTTTCTAACACAAACCGCTCGTTTCGTGTCTTAGGCCATCAATGTGTACTTACATTTACGAGTTTTTAAATCATGTGTAATTTGGACTTCTCTGTGCATGCTCTTTGAGGTGGTGACCATAGACCTGCATTATGACTGACAGACAAGAACGGTTTGACCTAAAAATATCAAAATTGAAACTACTGCGGAAACAAAGACACCTACATCTTGGATGCCCTTGAGGTAAGCTAAAACATACCAAAAATTAATTTCAAAGTGAACTATCCCTTTAAGCCAGGAATAGACCTTAGATCAATTAGGACATTTAAGTAGCTTTTATAAATGTGCCTTAGAAAAACACATTACTGGTGTGCATCTTGAGACAAAACAATGGCACTGACATATTTTAAGATATGTCACGGCAAGTCTGTTAAAAGAGCTCAAACTTGCATTTTAGTCTGGAACTAGGCTTAACCCTTGCCTGTGAAACTGGGGGCAGATTCTTCACATTTCTGAAGAATATCTTAAATTGGTTCAAAGCATATCTTACAATTGAAATCACAGCCTGTGCATAGTGAAACTTACTGGTCAGATTGTTTTTCACATTATTATTTATATAATTCTTTATATTATTGATTATTGATTTTTTTTTGGTTAACATTTGATATTATACATATTTCATTGATGCTTTGTAGCAGCAATAGATGAACCCGAGGACTGTGAAAATGCCACTTCTGATGCTCAGTCACAAGATGACAGGTAAGAATTAACCAAAATATAAGATTCAATCCTAACATTATTACATTTAAAGATGTTTTTATTAATTTTATTTCCAATGTGACGTGTACACTACCATTCAAATGTTTAGGGTCATTCTAATACGCTGATTTTGTGCTCAAGAAACATTTCTTATTATTATCAATGATAATGAAAATGTGAAAATTTTTGGAAATTGATACATTTTCTTTCAGGATTCTTTGATGAATAGAAATTTCAAAAGACCAACATTTTTTTGAAATAAAACTTTTCTGTATCATTATACATGTTTTTACTGTCACTGTGGATCAGTTTACTCGATCCTTTCATAATGAACTATTCATTTCTTTAAAAAAAAAAATCTTACTGACCCCAAATTTTTGAACGATGATGTCATTTTTGCACTACTAGTGCAATTTATGTTATGAGACCATTTGGGTGTTGAAAATGATTCTCTTTCTAGCAGGTTAAGGGAATCTGATTCTTCAGAGAATATAAACAAGAGTCCTGCTATTAAACCAGCTCAGCTCAAGGGTCGATCCCAGAGACCGATCCAGAACTTTAGCCGAAGATGGGGAAACAGGCGCCCTGAGCCCAAAAGCAATATCCGGGAGGGCGGGACCTCAGTCACGGGGGAGGGTGAAACGGACAGGTCCACCAAGGTAACGTTTTCAGCTGTTTAATGCAAGATTCAACCAATCTTACATGTGTATTACTGTACAGAGGCAGTTTCTTTTTTGTGACTGTCTATTTTATCTGTCATTGTATAATTCACTCTTTTTAGGTGCCTTCAGACTTGATACAAGAGGGGAAGAAAAGGCTGTCAAAGGTTTTTCTTGAATTGGAAGATTTAGAGGAAGAACCTGACCTTAGTTCTGTACATGAACAGATATTTAATAAACCAACCAGGTAAGCGTGACAATATTTAGAATATTTCAATCATAACCCGGTTAGGGTTCTCAATGCAATTTAAAAAAATATATTTTATACTATTATAGTATTTATTTTTATTTTGGGCTTATATTTTATATGTTTATATATTTCATTATATGGCTTATATTTTTATATTTTGAGTTTTTATTTGAATTTTTGTTTTTGTAATTGTACAGTGTGTTTGTCATTAAAAAAATTTGCATTTCTATTTAGCTTTAAAATAAATTCTGTTTAGTTTTTGTCATTTTAGTACTTCAGCTTAAACATATTTTATTTCAGTTAGTTGCCTAGACAAGATTTCTTCAGTTTAATTGTTCATCTAATATTGTTAATTTATGTTATTTATGTTATTTTACTGCAATATTATTTTAATTAACGAAAATGATTTTAATTGCTTAATTTTAATTAACAATACCAACACTACAATGCAGATACAATTGTGAATAGATTTAGATATATTATAAAATATATATAAAAACTTTTGATAAATTATTTTGATGGATGTAGAGCTGCACAATTAATCTTTAAAAGATTGCGAACTCGATTCAAACACCCACGTAAACTTATTCCTGGTTTTCCTCTCCTCCTGATTGGTCAACTTGAGACCAATCAGCCCGTTCAACCACACACACCCCACAAATTGAGAGCTCAGGAGGTGCTTGATGCTTCAAATAAAGAAGATTGTATAAATTACATCTCTACACCAGTAGGTGACAACAAGTGACTGTCAAAAATGTATTTGTCATTGAATCATTCATTAAAGAGATAGTTTTTGAACAATGATTCATCCAGCAATGAAACAAGTGAAGTCTTTGAGCGAGCCATTGAAATATTCATTCAAACTGATTTTAAGAAAAAAATTTGAATTAATTAAATGCTTTTAAATAGACTCTGCAGCAATTAACATTTGTCTGAACCTATAGTAAATTACATTACAAGCTGAACTTTGGGAGAATCGTGATCTCTATTTTAAACAAAAAATCGTGATTCTCAATTTATCCAGAATCGTGCAGCTCTAGATGGATGTGTGAGTCAATTTATTTTATTTTTGATGATCTTTTTTTTTTTTTAGGCATTGTTCTGTGGTCTTGTTTTCAGTTTTGCTAGTCATGCTCATTATTATTTCTCTTTTATTTAGGTCAGGAAGGATCCCTAAGCTCTCTCTGCATGTGATGCAGGCAGCGGCAGAGGAAGAGGAAGATGAGGAAGAGCTCTCTGAACCACCTGTGTCTTCCAAAACTTGTAATCAGGGCATCAAGGCACCCGGCCGGAGGGCTAAATTAAAACCAGGCCCCACATTGAAACAGGGCATGCACAGGAGAGGGAAATCTAGACTGGTGACCTTACTGGCCTCTGGAGCTGAAGATGATGATGAAGAGGACGATGACGTAGAAGATTGTGTCCTGAGCCAGGAGGACTTTCCTTCATACCCTGAAGAGGAAAACCAGGCATTTGTGCCAATGAGTCTACGCCCTCTACTGCCCGTTAATTCAGAGGTGGTAGAAACAATGGAAGAGGTTTGTTTTTGTATTAGCATACCATAAAGGACCTTAGTGGAACCCCCTTCATCCCATAGCAGTGTGGCTTTCTCTGTTCAAAAACTCCCCTGCTTGAGTCTGGTGATTTTCTTTTTTGCATAAATTATGTTGGTTAGTATTCAAAGAATAAGGCCAGAAACATATTTTACGCCAGGGGGTGTCTGGCGACCCTCAAGGTGCCACAGTATTCTTGGAAAAAAGTAACATTTACAGAAATTTACATTATAATAAATATTATTTTGCTTTCTAAACACTAACCATAATTATTTTATTACATTAACAGTTTGTAACAATGAAAAGAAATCTGAATACAGTTTTGTGGGAAAAATGTATTACTTGCTTAGAATGTGTTTCTGACCAAAGTGATGTTCAGTTTTGTTTCACCATTTTGTTCATTTTCATTTCTGCATGTCATATCAAAAACTCGCAACCTTCCTACCTTTCATTATCCTTCCCTTTTTTTCTGTCACTCATTCCCATTGTCTCCCAGCTGGACATTTCTGTGAATGTGCCTGATATCCTGGGCACATCCCAGAATGCTTTGTGCCCCGAGATTTCATATGAGCAGGCGGCGTTGCCCGCTGGTCCTGTTACTTATGAACACCAGTTGGACCTGCTTGCTGTAAGTCTCCCCAGCGTCATTGATGTCCCTTACTGTTGTGGTGTCCATTATAAACACACAATTCATTTGTCAGCTGAGTCTAGTTGCTTTACTTTGAAATTGGAGTGTTTTTGTATGTTTTGGTTTTTGTAGTCTTTAATGAGTTGGTACTAATTTGTGTCTGATTTGTTTTTAAGGATGTCATTGAGTTTCTTGACCCAGACCACATGGAAGGTAAGGTGAAACTCTCTCAAGCTTTCCTACCACCAGCAAACATGGAGAAACAAACAATCTACTGTATCTGAATGAACTTCCTCAGGAGTTGTTATTATCTATATTAACCATGCATTTATGCCATATGTAGTCAAAAAGGTCTCCAATATGCAATGACATGTTATATTCCAACATCAAATTATTTGGGCAAAAAATGCACAGATACAAGCTTTTTCTGTTTAGAAACAAAATATGAATAAATGTATTTATTTATTTATGAAATGTTTGTTTATAATTTGACTTTACACAATTGTTCAAATTCAAATAATTCTAACATCAAATTTAGAAGAAATCAAATGCGCCTAGTTTTCTGTTTGGATTTTTTTATTTTATTTATGATATTGACAATAACTTAAATTGACAGTTTAAATCTGTTATAATATTGGGCCAAAAATAAGCTGATAGTAATCTAGTTTTCTTTTTGGATAATTCTCTTTTGTTTATGGTGCATTTATTCATTCATTTATTTATGATACATTTGTTTTATTACAATTTACATAATTGTTCAAATAATAATAATAAAAACAAAAAATACATCCTTTAATGTATAATGTATGATTAATGAAATAATGATTTAAATGATACATATACTATGATATTATAAAAAAATATATATATATATATACTGTATATACTGTAACGGATATATGACAATAATCATAAATTATACTATAAATTAAATATCTTTATTTTTTCCCAGTAGTTTTTGAATTACTTTTCCATACCAATGTGTATATATATTGTGTCATCGACCAAACTTTTAAGAATATTGTATGATAAAAGTTTTCCTTATATCACAAGCCCCTACACACAATGCAAGTCTTTTACCCAAAAGCTTTAATATTCTGGTGGTTCATAATTTATACATCTTCCTTTCAGTATGTAAGGAGATCAACAATGAAGCTGCCCAGACTCTTCTGACCATCGGGAACTCGCCTCAGATGACCCAGACATCCGAAATACCCTGTACAGGTAAGAATAGCTTCATAATGCAACCCTCTTATTTGCCTGAATCCAAACGGGCACTCAAATTCTTCATTAGAAGACTGATTGAATTAAATCTTTTTCAGGTGAAAATGATATTCTTGGACAGTCAAGCATTGTACATGAAGAGGTGGTCCATGAAGAAGTTATCACAGAAACAGCCATCATGTCCGGTCCTTCTGTAAGTTGCGAGTCAGAGTTGAAAGATGATGTTGAATTTTCGACCTGTGAAACTCATATTCCAGAACTTTCTGCTGAAGAAACAAAAGAGGAGCCAATCAAATCACAGACAACTGATGCTCATCTTGGTCCCATTCAGCATGAGACACAGGATTTGTCTTGTTCCAATAGTGTTCCACCGCCTAAAATAGGCCGTTTCTCCAAACCCAAACCCAATATTAGTCAAGGTCTGAGAACCAGACGAGCTCCACAACAGCAAATCTATCCAGAACTTGTTACAGATTCTGTGGAGAGCTCTAAGGGTCCATCTGTCACGGAAAAGGATACAAATGCAACACAACCCATGCAAGAAGATTCAGTTCCTGTGGTTCCTACTTACCCTGAGGTACTACAGCTAGAAAAATCATCTGAAATAAGAGAAGACAGTCTCAATGTTGTTCCTGAAAGAGTGACTGAAGAAGATAATGGATCCGTGTCATCTCTGAAGAGAAAGAATGATGATATAATCACAGAGGAAAAAATAAAAGAACAAGAAGAGGCGGGAGAACCACAACTGACTAATAGGTATTAAAACTGTAGTATATGGCCCATTTATTTATTTTATTCATTTATTTTCACTGATGCTGTTAGTCAGTGATCTATCTTTTGTGATTTAACATTTAATTTATTTTAATTATTTTTGTAAATGAATACAATAAAATCAGTTGAAAATTAAAATGGTTCCTTGAATAGCTAAAAATGAATGCTTCCAATGGCGACGGTTCTATTCCCATAATGTGAGACTGATATTCATGTCGAAAACATGAGTAGTATCAATTATTGTCTGTATGTTGTGTGTTTCAGTGTGAGTGAGTCTAAGAGCACATCAGATGAGCCTGCTAAACCTGTCAGGAGGTCCCGCGGACCCAAACCTAAACCCAACCTGACTCACACACGAACACAGACACAACACAAAACAGGTATGATAATTCAAACCAAGCCACTATTATCTAAAATGTGTAATGGCTCTAAACAGGTGAATCTCACAAAAATATATATATTTATATTTAATAAATATTATATTTTGCATAGTTAAAAAATCTAATTTTTGTAACTGTAATATATATATATATTTTAAATAAAAACAGGCAGAGATTAAATGCAGTATAACATACTACCATGGTTGTATAAATTGTTTTAATGTTTCTATAATAAATAATTGTTCTAATTACAGCAGAGATTTTTTTCTTCTTACAGTTTATTTTTAAAATGTGCATTATTGATGTAAAAAATTGACTGAAAATTTCCTAAAAACCATGCTGAGTTTTATTATGCAAGATTTAATAAGTTAATTTATTAATTAACTTATTTTTATTTAATATGAAATGTGAAATCACATTTATGTTCTTGAGGTTTCATGAGATTCACATAGACAGAACAAATGCAAAAAAAAAACCAAAAAACATTTCAAAACAAAAATATGAATGAGTGCAAATATGAATTTTTATGTTTGCATTTGTTTACTCAGTTATAAATGAGAAACTGCCTGCTGCCGAGTCTTCCACGAGCACTTTCACTAAAAGTCCTGAAGAGGGTGCTGTAGTTACCACAGAATCTGATGTTTCCCAAAGTGCATCACAAGAGGTTGCATCGATCACTGAATCAGCACAGGTAAAATATCAGTTAAAACGGATTTTTAGCCATCGCACGACAAGTAGAATAATTACAATAAGGACATTGGAAGAATAAATATCATGTGTCATGTCTCTTTAATTTAGGCAGTCAAAGATGTCACACCAGTTGTTTCTGAAGATGAGTCCAGGAAGAAAACTGTGGTCATGTTGGATGAGAACAAAAAGACCAGTCCAGTAAAAGTTTTTGAAGACAGCACTGTGAAGCGTTTTGGATGTGAATCCGAAGAGATATCTGCTGAACCCACTCCTGAGGAACCTTTGTTTATACTTTCTCTCACTGAAATCCCACCCACTTTAGATGAGGGGGCGGGCTTTAGGACAGAGCCCCTCCCACCGACAGCGGCGTCTGAGCTGCATTCTCATGGTCAAAGGTATAGTTTGCTTTAAACTGTTATCTGATGCTGTAAAACACTGAGACAATGCACCACTTCATCAACAAATATATTGTGAGATGTCCTGGTTTCACCTTAGCTGACAATTTGTTAACCAAATGAATGCAGTGCATATTTAAGTTTTTTTTGTGAGACTGGCTTTCTGTGTTCTCAAATGTCAGTGTCTAAAACAGATTTCATTTATAGATTTGCAAATGGTACCATATCCTTTCTCTTGTATTTATTTATTTTTTCCACATTCTGTTTAATTTCAGTGCTAATGAGAGCAGGGAGGTATCTCACCTTCTGATCACAGATGCTTTAGTTCCTGTGTCAGAGGATGAGGAAAAGAAAAGTGGAGAGGGGGATGTGGACAAATGGAGGAAAGGAGGATTGAAACGCAAGACACCAGCCTCAGCATCTCAGGGGGTAATACATACAGCTTGACTTTCTGCACTATTGATGCTTGATAAGTAGTCTAATAAGTGACTAATAGTGAGGTCATTTCCTTTCCTAGAGTACCGAAGGTGAGAGTCAGGCAGAACATCACGGTGAGAACATTTTCAGCAAATCTTTATTATTAAAAAATAAACATATGGTATAGATTGTCATCTGTCAGCATGTTGTAATATCTGTTCATGCATTGCACATTTTCTTTATGCCTTAGTAGTGGAATTATTGGGAAGCCCTGTGGCAGAGGGGACTAAAGATGAGAAGGAACATCTGGAGAAGAAGAGAAAACTACCTGAGAGAACCAGGAGAGGTAAGGGAGCTGAAATGACACTACCAAATTTTTTTATGTTTTTGAAAGAAGTCTCACTGAGGCTGCATTTATTTGATACGGTAAAAACAATAATATTGTGAAATATTATCATATAACTGTTACCGTAATATATTTTAAAATGTAATTTATTCCTGTGATGGCCAAGCTGAATTTTCAGCATCATTACTCCAGGCTTCAGTGTCACATGATCCTGCAGAAATCGTTCTAATATGCTGATTTGCTGCTCAATGTGGAAAACATGTGCTGCTTAATATTTAAAAAAAATGTTTTTGTGGAAATCATGATGCACTTTTTTCAGTATTCTTTGATGAATAGAAATTCAAAAGAAAAAGTATTTATTAGAAACAGAAATATTTTTGTAGCATTATAAATCTCTTTGATATAATGCATTGTTGCTGAATAAAAGTATTAATATATTTTACAACTTTTAAATGGTAGTGTATAATAATTAAATGAAAAATAAATAACAATAATAAGTAAAAAAAAAAAAAAAAAAAAAAAAAATATATATATATATATATATATATATATATAACATAAAAAAGTTACTATTATCACTACAGGATCAGTTATTGTTAAAAAAAACTCACATGAAGGATTTGTTCACATTTCATCATTATTTGACCCTCCACTTCTTGTTAACAAATTATTAAATATTAAATTTTTAAAAATCCTCTAATTATATACAGTGTATGTCAAAGATTACAACTCATAAAATTTGGGTTTTACCAATGACCTCTTCTGTGTTTAGCAAAGCTGCAGGTGAAACCCATCCCCATTTCAAGGAGAAATGCTCGAGGTGTGAATGCTAAAGAGGACACAGCAGCGCTCTCTTTAAAAGAAACTAGCCCATTACCCATTTCAACACGAGAGACAAGATCTGTGCCAGAGCAAACTGTGCCTGCTGCCGTTTCAACAACGGACAACTCAACATCAGCCTCCATCTCAGACAGAGAAGCAAACACAGACCTCACTGCGACCAGCGATAATTCTCGTTCACCTCAGCGAGAAAATGATCCTCAAGAATCTTTCCAGAAGGGTCCCTCCCAAGGCATCATGGGACAGGTGGACCTCCCAGGCAAAGAGACAGTTGAGTTAGCTAGTGAACCAGACTCCCAAAGTGTCAGTCAGATCACGCCTATTGCCACGAGTGGGTCACTTACAAGGTGGGTGGCTCTTTTACAATGTCTTGATTTTGTTTTTGGGGTCTACTAGAATGTTTTCGTGCTTAAATGATAAAAAAAAACACACATTATTTTTCACATATTTTACATTATTGCAGCACCTCTCTTCCCAGTCTGGCTGTAACACTCTGTTCTGCTTTGTAACTTTGCAGATCTTTTTCAATACCAAACAGCAACATTATACACTAACGAAAGTTGAAACTGTAAAAAAGCATAATAAGTACTCTTTAAAAAACAACAACATTTATATTGGCTTTGATTTTATCCCTAACAAATATGACATTACAATCCATTTGTTTTATTTTTGTTCTTCTTTAGACCTGGCAGAAGACCCAAGGGGTTCCTGTCCTTCATTTCTTCTAAGAGTACACAAGGACCCCCAGCAGCTCATCGAGGGGCCAAACCAGGCCCCCAAAAACCAGCAGTCAACACCGCACGACCTGAGAGAAAACGGATAGCAGCCGGCCCTGTTACCATGGCAAAAAACCCTGATGTAAAGGGACCGTCACCAACTTCTGCTTCCACCACTGCATCTGTCATTGAGGTATCATACAGTCTGATATTCCAGTACTTCTATGGCCACATTGTATATTGGTATTAATAGAATTGGATTCCATCTTTCTCTGCTCAGCAGAACTCAGAAGAAGAACCCACCAGTGTCTCCAAGTACTTTTTCAGTGACATCTTTACTGAAGTTGATGAGCTAGAAGACCTGGATTGAGGTTGGAATAACGAGCCAGGAACAACCAAGCAAGCAGTGCAAAATATAGATTGACATCAGTAGGGTGTATAGATGTGAATGTGAAGTTTTTACCAAGAAGAACCACAACTGAAGATATGCAGTGAAGGCGTACCTCAATAACTTTCGAAATATTAACAATGTCTTTTATTTTATTATATTTTTTTCAAGGATAAATAAGTACTAATTCACATTATGGTAAAGCAAATATGTTTTTGATACAGTTGCACTCTTCGTGATGTAAAGTTGAAATACGACTCAAGTCTTATTTGAGCCTAACTGTGTATTATTTGATCGTTGGTCTTAACCTTCTGCATTTTATTTCCAGTTATGAATTGGCAACATGTTCATTTCTCTCAGCCAATTCCTTAACATCATTTGGTTATACTTGTATTTTTTCCTTTGTCTTTAGAAAAGACCCCTTTTTATTTTTTTGGAAGTTACTTTTCTTTCTTTATAATTTATATTTATTTCAAGAGCAGTTTTGAAACAAACCTCCATTTTAAATAAGCACTGTCCTTTTTTTTCCAACTCCATCCTGTTTTGTGTGTTGGATTTTAGCATTTGCAACATATTTTGTAGCATTTTTTTATCTTCAGCTTTTAGTCACAAAGCCTAGCCTTTGGTCAGTTTTATGCTGTTCATATTCACTTTTCATATTTGTGTTCAACTGTTCTCAAGGAAATGTTTTACTATTTGTAAATATGTTAATAAAAATGTTGTATGTTATAAAGGTTGAAATTCAAGCATTTTCCCATATGATCTAATCTGTCTAAATATGTATACAATAATGTATTTTATAATGTTTATGTAGTTCAATAGTGATTAAATTAATGCTGCATCTTGCGGAAGAACATTGTAGCTGGAGATACTTCTCCCTGTTTATGTCTTCGACGACGAGTCGCGCAGGTACTGGTACTGCTACTCCGCAGTGGTGCGACGCGAACCAGTTTAAAATAGTCCGAATATAAACACTTACCAATAGCCTATAGATGAAAGTTAACGTAGTAATTCGGGATAAGACAGAAACACGGTTTGGAAAATGGATTCATGATGTAGGCTACTCGCTTATTTAGTACGTGATTTTTTGTTGTTGGTGGGGGGTTTCGATTTTTGTCAGCAATTTTCAGAATCAATAGATTCAAATGAAGATTCGTATTAGCGTATATATGTTTAAAATTATCCAAGATATGTCATGAAATTTGAATGGGTTTTAATGGACGATTCGTTTTTTGAGCCGTCAATCGCCCCCTGGCGGAATAAAAAGTCTGTGCAAATTGGACAACTTACAATCAATATTATCTGCCTGCAGTCCCGGAGGCTGCATTTTCAGGACCCCACTTCTAGGACCGCATTTCTAGGACCCTAGTTTTTTTGTGACAGCGCCACCTACCGAGTCGGAGAACCGCAGTCCCAGGAACGCATTTCCAGGACCCTAGTTTTGGAGGAACGAAAAAAGTGCCACCAAGGCAGTATCTCCACCCAGTTTTAACTACATTAGAGTTTTTTAAAAAGTTTTATTACACCCAAATACTACTTTCTTTATTGCAATTAAACCAGGTTCCTAGGAATGTTGAGAAATTGGGTCTAAGTAGCATACTATAATATAACTCAAGTAAAATAAACAAGGAATCATGTTATAGCCTTTTCAGTCACTCGATGGACCACATTTTCAAGTACAGAGGGAAGACAAGGATGACTCAGGGGGTAGATTGATTGTGTATTTTACAAAATAATATATAACACTTGAACTTGAACACACAAAATCTTTTATAAAATAATATATAACAACTGAAATTGAACACACAAAATATTTTACAAAATAATATGTAACAACTGAACTTGAACACACACAAAAACAAATTTGATCATGACGTGAACCACTTCAATGGATGGACAAACACATGGACAACATCATCACTGACTCCTAAGAGAGAGAAAGAGAAGTGAATTAAATAAGGAACATTTAGTTGAACATGTTCTACTCTCTAATTTTAAATTTCATATTTAAAAGATCTTAGTTACCACAGAGTAATGATAATGATAAAAAATAATGATATCAATCTTCATACCAATTACTGTTCATAATACAATTATTGCATACTGTTCAAAGATTTGAAAAAAAAAAAATGATTTTGATGTTGTGGGAACAAAGGTTCTAGAAACACTCATGTCAATAAAGCCCATCTGAACTGAGAAAAAAATAATAGAGAGAGATGCAAGAAATCTGAATAGAAATAACATTATTGACACGACTTTTCCTGACCATATATAAGTAGGCCTATACAGTAAATGACACAATCTAACACGTGGGATTTTAACAGTCAATTATTATAATGGCCTCTCTGATATGTCTGACTATTAAAATGTCATATGTCTCAACCAACTTTATAAAACCATGTCAAAATGAAGAGACGTACACATAACATGTATTGTGGGTAACGTTAACAGGCTTACTGTGAGCACGTGACAGTGAAAACATTACGATTATTTTAACTGAATTAAAATGGAAAAACAATGAGTAATTAACAAGCTTTCAGAACGAACATGGTACAGTTTATTGTGCTGTAAGTAAGTCAACACAGGCTTAGCCTATCATGCAACAGCTACGTTAAATGAACCGTAGTATTTCATTTTCCAGCATTAGAGGCTAGTATATGATGGCTATGCATTCAAGACTGTTTAGCAAATCACCAGCACGTTGGCAACGTTAACTTTCCAATGAAATGCATCACAATTGTTTTTAAAGTTAAACAAATAAAAATTGATTCGCATTTGATACTCACACTCTGAATGTCATCCATTTTCGCTGGTCCTCTAATTCGGTAGGTGGCGTTGTCACTAAAAACCTAGGGTCCTAGAAATGCGGTCCTAGAAGTGGGGTCCTGAAAATGCAGCCTCCGGGACTGCAGGCAGATGCTACTCCTTACAATAGCATCCCAAAGTTAAATTCACAACGACAATGGTGGCGCTGTTTCAGTCATGGTTTCAGTGTGTTCACAATTCTAGGCGCCACCCATACCACGAACTCAGGAAAAACACCCCGTTTTCCATAGTTGTTTCCACATGTCCAGGAGGATTTTAGAACAAATATACTAATGGCGCCTATACATTTGGGACGGGATTTATCTTAATTTTTAATTTAGCAGTTTCACTTAGTAAACACTCGGTCGCTTCGGATGATTCCTTGAGTTGGATTTTCAACATAGAGCAATAATGTTCTGCAGAAACCAAACTTCCAGAGCCACTGTGGCCCGCGGATCCGCGATGGAGATGGAGGTGAAGAGAGGCCGATTCCGCATGAGTGTGCTGGAGGATTCCGCACAGGTGAGCGATCGCAGCAGCACACCTGCGCATGTGCAGAACCACCACAAACTTATCACAACACTACCGAAAAAGCTCAATTTTATTGCTCAGATGCTCATTCAGCCTACACATACCAATAACTCCACAAAGTCCCCAGACAGCAACATAGTGTCGGCCCAGATCCGGCCCACATCTGGTACGCGTAGAATCCATATGTACCGGATGTGGGCCGACACTATGTTGCTGTCTGGGGACTTTGTGGAGTTATTGGTATGTGTAGGCTATAAATAGGCCTATCAACATTTCCTCAGAAGTTTAGTAGTAACTAGGAAATGAGACAATTGTATACAGTAGGATTATTATAATCCTACGAAGGGCAAAAGTTTCCATTTGAATTCAGTCTAGTCTATTAGGTAAGATCTGATTTTAGTGTGCAGGGTTTTGTAGGAGTTTGGATTCAATATCTATAATTGTGTAGGCTAATTATTTATTACATGAAGTCCCCTCTTCATGTAATAAAACATGGATCAGACTGCACTACGCCGTATTGTTAAGGGATAGTTTACCCAAAAATGAAAATGATATCATCATTTACTCACTCTAAAGTTGTTCCTTCCAAGCCTGTATGATTTTTTTTTGTTCTGCTGAACACAAAATAAGCTATTTTGAAAAATGTCGAAAGCCAAACAGTAGCCAACTCCTATGACTTCCATACGGAGAAAAAAAGTCAATAGCGTCCATCAACCATTTTTCAAAATATCTTCTTTTGTGTTCAGCAGAAGAAAGAAAATCATACAGGTTTGGAACAACTTGAGGGTGAGTAAATGATGACAGAATTTTCATTTTTGGGTGAACTATCCCTTTAGGCTAAATCATGTATTCACTGACATATTGAATAGTTGCATTAATCAGACAGCATACTTCCATTTACAAAGCATACTGTTGATGTAAAAAAAATTGTTGTTGTTGTAAAATCTGTGTTTTTTAGACTGATTTAAAGACTGCCTTTTTTATTTGATAGCCTTGTGTATTCAAGAATCTCTTTCATGTTTTTTTCCTCCTCGGCAGTAATCTCACATGTGTCTCTAGTTTCAGAAAAGTAACAACACTTCAATACACAACATTTCTCAGAGATCAAATTATCTGAGCAGTGCTATCCACACTCATTTTATAGCAACACTTGTCTCATTTGTACTAACTGTTGGCAAAAAGAAAAATGAGCAGCAGCAAGATTTAACATACTATTAGTCAGGGAGAAATCGTTTAAGAGCGAATACACGCGCCCTATTCTTTGGAAGTGTGCCGAGATCAATCTTCAGTTAGTGCTTTTGTGTAACTGAACACTTAGTCATAGTTCGCTATTCATTTAACCACCCTCATGTCACTCTAAACCTGTATGGCTTTCTTTCTTCTGTGGAACACAAAAAGAGAATTTCTAAAGTCTCACTCTTTTCAGTATAATAAAAGTGAACGAGGAGTGTGCCGTGAAGCTCCTAATTAAAAGTAATTTAGTAAAATATGCAAGATATTTCAAGTCGTTTGAACTTGAGGTCAAATAGCATGCAGTAGAAATGCATCAATGCATCAAATGATGACAATTTTCATCTGTAGATGAACGATTCCTTTAAATGCACAATTAAGAACTGGCCGTCATTAATACAATATAATTCATGCATCATAAATAACACTGACATTATTATTTGAGTCTAGTATCTTCATAATTAAACATAAAAAGATAAATTGTTCCAGAATCAAAATCCCCTATACTCAGAAGTATTGAAACTCATGAAGTTACCAGCTGTCTCAAATTATTTTCAGTCATAGCACAAACATTATCAGTTTACAGTCCATATCAACCCTTAAACTGTACACATTATCTAGGCCTAATCTTTTTTTTTCTTTTTTTTTTTTTTTTTTTTCAGATCCTTTGACACATATTCAGTTGTGGTTTGAGGACAGTGTAAATTGATAATTACATTGGTAAATTCCTTCAATTCGTTTGATTTTTATGCATAAATAATTTGTTCCGGATTGATAAACCCTCAGATTTCTTATTAACATACGTATATGCAGTTATTTGTGGTGATTATAAAACACACTTATATCACTCCATTTCAACTCTTACATAACTGTGGCTCTTTACGTCACATTTGAGAGGATGTGAACAGATTAAAGAGGTATTTTACTGGCTCACTATATGCAGACCATAAACTTAGAATGAGTACAGAAATTGAAAAAAAACAGAGGGTTTTTGTTTTAGCGCCGTTTAGCTCTTTGTGTTTCTTGCAGGCTGAATGTTTTCAGAGCTCTCGAGTGTGTGTTACGAGGCTGAGGTTTTTCTGGCACATTAGGAAGAATCTCAGTGGCGAGTTATTTTAGTATTTTTTTATGTACTATTAGAGTATTCGTATTTTGAATTGGCTTTTATTTTTATATTTCAGTTTTAATTTTGGCTTTAGTAATTTTGATAAATTCTTTTGTCATTTTAAATAGTTTTTGTTGTTTTTAGTTATTTCTATTTAATTTAGCTTTTAATTTATATATATATATATATGTTTTTTTTTTTTTTTGCGGTTTTAGTACTTCAACTCCCACTATGTGTTTTAATTAGTTGCCAAGGCAACATTTCTTATTTTGTTAAGTTTTAAAGCTTAAGTTTTTAATCTGATGTTTATATTTTATTTTATTTCAAGCAGCTTTATTTCAGTTAACGAAAACTATCTTTAATTATAACATTATAACAGCACTGCTTTTAAGATGTTAAATATACACTAAGAAAGTGATTGCAACAAATATTATTTATATTTAAAGTGACAGTTTATTCAAATGCAACTAACAATTTCATTTTAGGTCAATTCCACAAGCGAGTTAATTCAAGTAAGCTGGGGCATGTGACAAAATTAACCCCATTTAACAACACGTCTCATCCTAATCTATACAAATGGCTTAAAATACATAAAAATAACCCTGAATTGCACTATCTGGAGGTAAAGCTAAATATCCATACAGATTGCTTCACCCTAACTGAACTTAATTACATGAGACAAAAGGTTCAGGGCTTAGTCTTAGATCATGGCTTATCCAAGCTTAAACCCACTGAAAGCGCTGTCGGTGTGTGTGTAGCTTAGGAGGAGGATTTTCCGGAGATAAAGAGAGTTCAAAAAGTAAAGTAGGTCTTAGACCATATAGCATAATCTTTTCCTTGCTGCATTTTATTTATTTTTTATTATTCAATATTATATATACACTCACCTAAAGGATTATTAGGAACACCTGTTCAATTTCTCATTAATGCAATTATCTAATCAACCAATCACATGGCAGTTGCTTCAATGCATTTAGGGGTGTGGTCCTGGTCAAGACAATCTCCTGAACTCCAAACTGAATGTCAGAATGGGAAAGAAAGGTGATTTAAGCAATTTTGAGCGTGGCATGGTTCTTGGTGCCAGACCGGCCGGTCTGAGTATTTCACAATCTGCTCAGTTACTGGGATTTTCACGCACAACCATTTCTAGGGTTTACAAAGAATGGTGTGAAAATGGAAAAACATCCAGTATGCAGCAGTCCTGTGTGCGAAAATGCCTTGTTGATGCTAGAGGTCAGAGGAGAATGGGCCGACTGATTCAAGCTGATAGAAGAGCAACTTTGACTAAAATAACCACTCGTTACAACCGAGGTATGCAGCAAAGCATTTGTGAAGCCACAACACACACAACCTTGAGGCGGATGGGCTACAACAGCAGAAGACCCCACCGGGTACCACTCATCTCCACTACAAATAGGAAAATAGGCTACAATTTGCAAGAGCTCACCAAAATTGGACAGTTGAAGACTGGAAAAATGTTGCCTGGTCTGATGAGTCTCGATTTCTGTTGAGACATTCAGATGGTCAGAATTTGGCGTAAACAGAATGAGAACATGGATCCATCATGCCTTGTTACCACTGTGCAGGCTGGTGGTGGTGGTGTAATGGTGTGGGGGATGTTTTCTTGGCACACTTTAGGCCCCTTAGTGCCAATTGGGCATCGTTTAAATGCCACGGCCTACCTGAGCATTGTTTCTGACCATGTCCATCCCTTTATGACCACCATGTACCCATCCTCTGATGGCTACTTCCAGCAGGATAATGCACCATGTCACAAAGCTCGAATCATTTCAAATTGGTTTCTTGAACATGACAATGAGTTCACTGCACTAAAATGGCCCCCACAGTCACCAGATCTCAACCCAATAGAGCATCTTTGGGATGTGGTGGAACAGGAGCTTCGTGCCCTGGATGTGCATCCCACAAATCTCCATCAACTGCAAAATACTATCCTATCAATATGGGCCAACATTTCTAAAGAATGCTTTCAGCACCTTGTTGAATCAATGCCACGTAGAATTAAGGCAGTTCTGAAGGCGAAACACAGTATTAATCAAACACAGTATTAGTGTGGTGTTCCTAATAATCCTTTAGGTGAGTGTATATAGGCCTATACATCGTTAACTAAAACTAAAACCACTAAAACCTTTTCTGAAAACTTTCTTACTTGATATAAACCTACAATAAAATATAAACATTAGGTAAAAAACTTAATCTAAACGAAAAATTATTAACTGGAAATAAATAAAAACTGAACTAAAAATCTATTAAACCTAAATGAATAAAATGACAAAAGCAGATTACGTATTAATTACTAAAAATTAAATTAAAATTTACATTACATACATAAGAATTAACATAAAACCATTAAAAAAAACTATAAAAAACCCACTGATGTATCAGCCAACTTCTGCCATTTTTTTTGTTTGTTTGTTTGCTTTGATATGCATCAGACGGTCAGTTAATGGTTTGGGTTAACTGTCTAAGGTTATGACTACTCTTGTCTCTTTCTCCATCAATCTGCAGGACTGTGAGGTTCAGAGGCAGATCGAGAGGGAGGTGAGGATCAGAGAAGGGACCTGTAAGCTTTTAGCTGCATGTTCTCAGAGAGAACAGGCTCTGGAGGCTTCCAAGACTCTCCTCACATCCAACAGCCGCATACTGGCCCTCATGACCCAGCTGCAGCGCATGAAGGAAGCCCAGGCTATGCAGAGAGCAGGACGAAGGTATATCTCTGAGTCTTTGGGCTGGGGTATTGATGTATAGCGAGTTGGAGTGAGGAAGGATGGATGGATCCTATGCTGTCTCCGATTCTGGCTCAAATAAATTATGAATAACTAAATAATAAATGTTATTAAAAGAACAGAATAAAAGAAAAAGTATAACATTATGATGCCTACCTATTGTAATTGTTTTGCTATAAGTGCAGTTCAAATGTTGCTTTTGTCTGGAACAGAGCCTTTGATCCATTGATTGAATGGTTTCAGGTCATCTGATGGAGGGTCTGAGCGATTGCCTTGTACTGGAAAAGTAGCCATTTCAGGTGCGGTTACACAGAGAAAAACAGAACATCTCACCATATGTAGGCTATATTTATTTACTTTGATTTTGTTTCTTTGCTTATCCTCAGATATTCGTATTCCTCTCATGTGGAAAGACTCAGAGTATTTCAAAAACAAAGGAGGTGGGTTTTACAAATATATATGCCCATAAAGTAATTTTTGTCGTTATTTTTCAAATTTTTTCTGTCTTCCTGTCCCTCTTTTCTCTGTTCAGAGCTGCACCAGTGTGCGGTGTTCTGTCTGCTGCAGGTGGGCACAGAGATTCACGATACAGATCTCGTAATAGTGGACAGGACGCTCACAGACATCTGTTTCAATGAACCAGTGATATTGTGAGATGCGTTTCCTTTTACTTCCTATTATTTCTCCAAAATGAATGCATCACTTGTTGATTTTTTCCATAATATCTCATCATGTCATATTTATTAGTGATAATGCTTGATTAGTGTAGCCTTTGAATTGTTTCTGACCAAAAAAAAAAAAATCCCAATAGTAAAATAAATCATTATATATGTATAATTTAAAAAAAATAAATAAATAATAAAGATCTTTCAAGTCAAAAATCCTTTCTGAGTCCTCATATATTGTTTTGATAGCACTGACGCACCTCCAGGCTTTGACCTGCGGGTGGAGCTCTACAGCTGCTGTGTGGAGGAGGAGTTCAGCGCGGGCTTCTCCACTCGGAGACTGAGCCGGCTGGGAAGTGCCTCCAGTAAGAAGTTCATGGCAACTTTGGAGACAGCAGCTTCCTGTAGTTCCCATGGCAGTAGAACCGTTTCGGGAGGAGGGAGTTCACCCGGAGGAGAATCACCGGTTCTGTTGCCCGCTCTTTCTGTACGGTGAGGTGGCAGTATACCGGTATATGCTATCACCTAGAGAAATATCTTATATACCGTATCTGTGTACAGTGTACACACAGATACATGACACTGGAAAAATGTTAAATGTTGAAACAGTCTCACACATGGGGCTGCCAAAACCAGTTTACAAACATAAACAGATGCATCTGTAGTGACTGGCAGTACAGACAGACACACCTTGACTTTTTATTTTCTCAACATTCAGTCTGTCTGAGATGATGGCCAAAAAAGCAAAGCAGAGAAAAAGAAAGAGATGGATGGAGAGAGATGTTGAAACCAGTTAAATATTTTTAGGGTGAATCTCATAAAGCCTGCCAAGAACATGTCTGGGTCATTTTTCATATTTCAAAACATCTCTGGAAGATTTTTTTCTCCCCCAATATTTTTAATCATTAAAAATTAAATGTTGTGACATTATTTTCATGAGAATAAAGCACCACTTAAAAATAATTGATCTCTTTTCATTCTTATTATTTCATTATTTTAATTGTGATTATACGTGATTATATATTTGTATTTATTTTACTGTCTTTTTATTTTATTTTTTATTATTACATTACAGAATCATCATTGACCCTATTGAAAATTACAAACAAACTCAAAATTAATATATCTTGGGCCATTAAGAATTTGGGTGGACAGCTGTGTTTTAATTGTCCTAAAAAAAATATTGAATGTACTTAATGTACAAAAATACAGCCTAATACATTTTTTGTAAAATATATGCAAAATATATGAATTTTAAGTGAAAATTCTTTTACTTTTTTCTTTGATAATATGACCTGGACATGTTTTCTTGAAATACCTCCTATAAGGTTTCACTTCATTAAAAATACAACAGTGTTGTTGGATTATTTTCTTTTCAAATTAAGTTTTCTGATTGTTTTATGTACATCAACTCAAAAAATGTATTATTGTCAGTTCTAAATGTTGCAGTTTTATCAGAACTGAATATTTTGTTCTTTTAAATTCTTAATAAATGTGCTCACTGTCACTGCTCTTGTCCTCAGGGGCCCTAAATATCACCTCCTGGCCCATACATCTCTGACCCTGTGCCACGTACAGAACTCTTTCCGAACCCATGACCTGACTATATCAGACACAGGTAAAAAAAAAAAAAAAAAAAAAAAACTTTTAATGTTCACAGAACCCATTAAATATGTGTTTTACGTATAACGAGGTCCAAAAATCTGAGAATACAATGAAAATCTAGGATCTGTAAAAAAAAAGTTAATTTAAATCTAAATAGATCTCTAACCATCTCGTTCTCGTTTTGTTATTTGTTTTCATCTGTATTTCAGAGGACTCTTCGTTCTGGTTGCCTCTCTATGGTAATGTGTGCTGTCAGCTTGTGGCTCAGCCTCACTGTATGACTCAAGACGTCATGTGTGGAAAACTCAGAATTCGGGTATGTAAGAAATAATTTATTATTGTAATTAAAAATAAATGAACATAATTTTCCAATTCCCTATTCATTCAGCTTTCATGTATTTTTGTACCCTAGTCAGAGACCAATCCTGAGGACTGGAGAGACGTCTACGGGGTCCTGAATGGATCTGTTTTGAAGTGTTACCAGCAGCAAAATGATACAGACTCTTTAGAGACACCAGTGTTTACTATTCCCATTAATAAGGTGAGGATTATCAATGCATCAGTTGTAGTGGCATCTTTTAGTCAACAGAGGGGATTTAGTTCATGTTATGTTATGTGAGTAATTCCAGTAAAAGGCTGTGAAACGTGCTGCACGTGTCTTTCAGTCCAGTATTACAGCATACATGGTTTTAAAAGTTGCTTACTACATGGTCCCTACATGCTACTGCTTATGAAATGCAGAATTTGTTGTTTACACCTGAAACCAAGTATGTGTGTATACTTGCTTTAGGAAACTCGTGTGCGTGCCACAGAGAGAGATCCGGCTCTACATACTCAAAGTATCACCATAACCAACCAGTGTGGCGAAAAAAACACTTACACAATTGTCACGCGCACACCTGAAGACACACATTGCTGGATGGAAGCCTTCTGGCAGCATTTCTATGACATGAGTAAGTACCAGAGCTTCCTAGAATGGTAGAAATCTGCAGATATCTATCTATCTATCCATCCATCCATCCATCCATCTATCTATCTGTGTATATATATGTATATATATATATATAATTTCATGTTATCTTTGTAGGATTAATTGACAGCTCTAATTCGTAATGATTAAAAACTTCAACAACATTTGCTGACATGCAACCTCCGGTATGTCCATAAGGAAATCCTGAAAAGAAAATCATAGCTCTGTCCCTCATCACTATGCAGATTTCCTTATTGTAGGGGCAAAGGAACAAAATTCCTTTTTGTCACGTTTTGCAAACAACACTGTCTCCGTCACTCAACACAGTGTTTGCTGCAGACACAGATAATCTCACTCTTAAAGGGGTCATCGGATGCAAAATTCACATTATACTTATTTAGTGTATACTCTTTATGTAGTCTTATGTAATTGCATAATGCTAAATTATTTTCTGTATTTATGGGAAGTTCAATCTAAAGTTCAATATGCAAGGCTCGTTTACCTTCTTAGTAAGGCCATTTTAATTTTATTTTTTTAAGTTTAGCGATTAGAAATGGATTTATTTTGCTGGAGGGGCCACTGTGTTTCACCAGAGAAACACAAATGAGAGGAAGTCTCACTTATTGACTAAAAAATTAGTGAAAGTTTCAAATGTATTGCACGTGCAAGAATTTTTACACGTGACCTTGAACTTTGAAAGGAATACAGGCTTGTTTTCTTAGAGTCTGATTGAGCGGCGCTCTGGCGACATATTTTTGAGACCAGTTAGGCCTGACTTTTCTATTGTGAAATCTGCATTTATTTCTGAGAAGGTGAAAACTAGAATGACTAGACTTATTGTTGCATTACCGCTTTTTTAAGTTCCTTAGCGAAATAAGCAAAGAGCGCCTTTGAACACAATACACCTTTATTGTTATAGGTACACTGACTATGACAGTTAGATATGGTTTTAGTTTTATAACAGTTTGGCCTGAGAAAATGATAATGGAATAAAAAGGTAGAACAGGGATCTTTTTTAGGGGTGATAAACAAGTAATAATTGCATAAATGTAAACGTGCAATTGCACGTGTTTGCATTCTTACTTGCATGGCCACTTTTTTGGGAATGAGGAACTGATGCGCTTGAAGGACAAGTGTTATCATTACTGACATAGAAAAAACCTACCAAACTGGATTTTTCCCTAATCATTCTTAAAGGCTGATTAACTGATGGAGGAGAACAAGAGCATGGGATTTAAAGTACAACAAACCGTAAATAAATAGGGTCAACTGTCATGCATTTAAAAAAAGGTGCGCTGAACTTAAACTGAGGAAACCAAATTGAAATTCGGCTTATATGACTTTTGTCGTTGACATTTTAATATTTTGAAGAATCTTCAGGCTTATCCATACAACTAGTTCAGGATGTTTGGAGCTGTGATTACTGAAACAGCTGCAGTCATGTTGAACTGTCATTGTATGAGGAAAAAGCATCCTCTTAATTTGTTCTTTCGTGTTTTACAGAAAAATAACAGTACACTTGAGGTATCATGAGATAAAGCAGTGAGGATAGACGTGCTTTAGTGAGCTCCTCTGATTGGCTATATAATTCGTCGAAAATCCTTAATTAATCTCCCTGACTGGAAGAATTTTGAGTCTATTAAGTATCTGGAAATGTATTATTGTTTATGGCAGAACACAATTTACGCCGAAAAGGACGTAAAACACGACCAATTAGCAACACTCCCGAAGCTAACAACCTCGACACGCTAACCAGTAATGGGCGAAGATGTGGAAGGTGAAGTATCGTTACAGACTCTATAATTTGCCTTTTTTTTTTTTTTTGAAGTTAAAGCTGCTGTAGGTAACTTTTGAAAAAATGTATTTGCTAAAACTGTCATTATGTCCTGACAGTAGAATATGAGACAGACAATCTGTGTAAAAATCAAGCTCCTCTGGCTCCTCCCAGTGGTCCTATTGCCATTTGCAAGAAATACACACTCCCGGTCAGAAACAACCAATCAGAGCCAGGAGGAATGTCTTAGCAGTGTCAATCACGCTCGTGTACACGCTGATCACACCCCTCTCTTGCACAGCGCGAGCCGTCGTTCAAACTCAAGATTGCCGGCGTGCTGCAGCTGTGCTTATGACGGAGAAACAACCTAAACTGCCAATTCTCGAGTGACACCTGCTCATAAAACAGAGGTAAAAGGAAAAAGACTGATGACGATAAACAAGCGAAAAAGAAAGAATTACACAGAGCCCATTGACTCGGTGTCAAAACTCTAGCCGCATAACATGTAGATAAAATGTCACGCACTCTGCTAAGCAACAATTGAAACCTGCTAATTCACTGGCTTGTCATGTTGCTGAAATAATGTACTAGCACACCTTATCTAGCATTATATATCGCTAGAATAATTACTTACATACTGTAACGTTAGTTACCGTTATATTAACGTTATCTTATTAGCTATTTATAACTTATAGAAAGAGTGCAACGTTATAAAGTTACATGTAGGCTATTGGAAAATACATAATGATTTGAGGACCAAGTTTGTAGTCAAAATATGGGCAGGCCATAGTCAATGTAAAGCATATTATTGACGTTTAGTCCCTATTAGTGAATGTGCCATATAACTTTTTATCCGCCGTCATCGGTGGCCCTGTTTACTAGCCTGCGCGTTCACGACAGGCTCCACTGTGGAGGACGAGCTGTGGAGGGAGGGCTGTAGCGCAGCAGAGAGCAAGGGGGTGGGTCCTGTAAGTTGTGCTTGTTCAAATTTTCAGGCTAAGTCAACGTTTTCTCAAAACTCCCTACTGCAGCTTTAAAAAATTTAGCTCGGGTGACTTATTTTTGGTTTTTATTCTTCACGCAACGAGATGTACCTTTCACATCATGTAATGGCACTACATTATGTTAATGGAGACCTACACGGTTACTTTAAAGGTCACGTTTAAAGGTCATAATCCAGTTAAAAGAAAGAATGTGCTTGCATATTTGAAAAGGGTTAACACTGATATAGCTTTTATTCAGGAGACTCATCTTACAGATCAGGCGCATAGAAAACTCTAGAGAGAATGGGTTGGTCAGGTCTATTACTCATCATTCTCATCTAGTGGTCGAGGTGTAGCATTATTATGTCATGATTCTGCCATCATGTTATTGATTATTCCTGGTCTTGTGGCAGGATCATGACAGAACCAATGTTTTGTGTACAAGCGCATGGCCGATTGTCATGGCCATGTGCTTGTGTTGTCTCGTCTCTTAACCCCGCCCCCTTGTTATCCTGATTCAGTCTTTATTGCTTCACCCATGTCACCTGTTATGTCTTGATTAGTCTCCTTATTTTATCCCCTTGTGTTTGCTGTCTTGTGTCGGTTCATTGCCAAATGTTACTTGTGAGTACCCTGTGAAAGTCTTGTCTTTGATAGTTATTGAAAGTCTAGTCTTTGTTAGTTTCTCTTGAAGTGTTGTTTGTTTTCTAGTGTTTTGTCAGTGTCGTTGTCTAGTAAGTCACCGTAGTCCTGTCTTGTTTTGCCCCCTCGTGGGCTTTGTTTTCCCGGTTATTTGTTTAATAAATCGTGTTGCCTTGACTACTGTCTGCTATTGGGTTCATCCTTCCTCACCCACATAACAGAATGAACCGACCAGAACCGAACCCAGTAGACATTACGTCCTCTTATGTCAGGCATAACCTTGATGATCTTAAGGATTGGTGGCACAGGACCATCGCTGACTCTAAGAGGGGCAAACTCCCGATTCCCTCCAAGGGAGAGTTATCATTGTGTGAGTATGCCCGGGTCGCCAACGAGAGGAGGTTTTTCCTGCCTGATCACCTCCTAAACCGCTACCTCATTGCGGGTCTCAACTCTCCTCCACCCCTGGCTGAACGGGAAAGCCTGGTTTGCCATTCGTTCGCTGATGTGGTGGATTGTTTATCAAGGAGAGAGTCCCGGGGGTCCATCTTGTCTTCACCACCAGTCAAGCTGCCAGTGATTCCGGAGGGTCGTGTCCTAGGCGTCGTTTCCCAGGGGAATCAAGCTGGTTCCACTCCCGTGACGTCATCCGGACCCGAAGGTCTACTCGGCAAACGAGAGAGACGGCTGTCGTGGGAGTCGACTTCGGAGTCCTCTTCCACTGAGACTGCAGTCCCTGCTGTGCTTCCGCAACTGGTCACAAGCCCGGCTACGTCCTCTGCACCGCGACCCAGGAAGAAGAAGAGGAAGAAGGGAGCCTCTTGTCCTCCGTCTCTGTCTTCCCCAGAGCCCGCTCCAGCGAGTGCCGTCCCAGAGCCCGCTCCAGCGAGCGCCGTCCCAGAGCCCGCTCCAACGAGCGCCGTCCTAGAGCCCGCTCCAGCGAGCGCCGTCCCAGAGCCCGCTCCAACGAGCGCCGTCCCAGAGCCCGCTCCAGCGAGCGCCGTCCCAGAGCCCGCTCCAGCGAGCGCCGATCCCAAGTCAGCTGCTGTGAGAGCTGCGGCCGATCAAGCTGCAGAAGCAGTCCTGTTGTCATTGCCGCTGAGGCTTTAGCTAATTATTTGTCAAATCTTGTCAAAATCCTTGAACCGGTCTGTCCTGCCTTGTCCTCAACACCCGAGCCTGTCACGGTGAGCGCAGCACCCACGCATGTCTCCGTGAGCGCTGCACCTGGTCCTGTCCCTGTGAGCACTGCACTCGATCCGGTTCCTGAGAGCGCAGCCCCCACGCCTGCCACAGTGAGCATCAGACCCACGCTTGGTCCTGTGAGCGCTGCTCCCGAGCCTGTCGCCGTGAGCGCTACACCCAGTCCTGCCCTGTCACCTGCCATGTCCCCCGTCAGAAGTCCCGTTACCTCATCCTCCGTGTCCTCTGTGTCCCCTGTGTCTGAGTCTGTTGCTGCAGCATCCCCGACTGTTTCCCCGTTCGTCCCGGTCTCCACCAGCCCCCGGACTGTTTCCCCGTTCGTCCCGGTCTCCACCAGCCCCCGGACTGTTTCCCCGTTCGTCCCTGTCTCCACCAGCCCCC